CGGGCACGGAAGGTGTCCGTGCACAATTGGGAACCAGGTGACAAGGCCTGGCTGCATTGCCCTCAGGCACCTTTGGCCACGTCGCCTAAATTGTTGAAGCCGTGGCGGGGACCCGTGGAGGTCGTGCGGGTGGCACGCCCCCAGTGCGTTCAGATAAAATGGGGGAAACGCCGTTGGTACGTCCACCCCTCCCGACTGAAACCGTTCTCGCCTCCGTATGGCCTCCCCTTGTGTCGTGAGGGCCGAGCATGTGACGTGACCGACGACCCTGAGGGGGAATTGTCCTTGCCTGCTCCTCACATGTCTCCGCCTGATCCGCTCCCAGGTGTCTCGGAACTGACTGCTGCCGACCACCGGCGGCCGGATCTTCACGGCGGGGCCGGTCCTTCCAGGCCCGACCCGTGCCGTCTAGAGCTGCCGGAGACACCGGACGGTCGCCAACGTCCCGTTCCATACGACGGACCGGCCAGACGGACTCGCGCTAGGTCGCGCTACTTTGTGTAACCTACCACGTGCGGAGTCGAGGCAGCCGGAGCGCCTCGGCACTGCGTGGGTCACAGTGACACTTGGCGCGTTCGTTTTACGGTGTTCGCTTTTATTGTGTTGTTCGTCGGGCTGTATATTGCTTCATATTTAAGGTTGTGTTATGTTGTTGTTGTTGTGTTACGGGGCACACTGGGATGTGGAGTTCTTTATTACTGCGTTGCGTTATGTTGTGTTGTAGGTTAACAGCCGGGCCGGCTGCAAGCTATGTGGGAGGGGGTGATGTAGAGGTGATACGCGCTGGGATTAAGGATCGTATGCACAGTGCGTGATGATTGGCTGTGTAGGTGGTGACGCGCTGAGAGGGAGTGATCAGGTGGCAGCGCAGTGTGATTGGTGGAGTAATGTTAACACGCGCTGGGGAAAGCGGATCGTAGAGAGAGTGCGTCGTGATTGGGTCATTAAGGAACGACGCTCACGTCGACGCCGCATCAGCTCCGTCCCTCGTGAGCAGGGGCTATAAAAGGGGATGCACACAGGCGTAAGGGCAGTGTGTAACCAGCGAAGAAGGAAGACGGGGATGAAGACCTAGAGCCCTGCGGTACCTAGCCCCGCTGTCCTAAGGGGACCGGGACTCTGTGTAACCCAGAGGCGAGTGTAGTGGGTGTAGCCATAGGCTTACACGAGTCGAGTGTATTGTGTAGCCAGAGGCATAGGGCTTACACGAGTCGAGTGTATTGTGTAGCCAGAGGCATAGGGCTTACACGAGTCGAGTATATTGTGTGTAGCCAGAGGCATAGGGTCTACACGAGTCAAGTGTATCGGGTGTAGCCAGAGGCCTAGAGCTTACACGAGATTAGTGGAGTGTGTCGGAGGAAGAAGAGAGACCACACGTTGTATTGTGATACCTAAAGGATTTAATAAAAGTGTGTTACCCGTCAAGAAGTTCCTGCCGTCAATTCCCATACTTCACATGTAGTAGTAGTAGCTACTACACATGTAGTAGTAGTAGCTACTACACATGTAGTAGTAGTAGCTACTACACATGTAGTAGTAGTAGCTACTACACATGTAGTAATAGTAGCTACTACACATGTAGTAGTAGCTACTACACATGTAGTAGTAGTAGCTACTACACATGTAGTAGTAGTAGCTACTACACATTTAGTAGTAGTAGCTACTACACATGTAGTAGTAGTAGCTACTACACATGTAGTAGTAGTAGCTACTACACATGTAGTAATAGTAGCTACTACTACTACACATGTAGTAGCTACTACTACTACACATGTAGTAGTAGTAGCTACTACACATGTAGTAGTAGTAGCTACTACTACTACACATGTAGTAGTAGTAGCTACTACACATGTAGTAGTAGCTACATTTGTAGCGACTTTCGCTACTGGGATAATCTGCCACTGCTTTGACTGTCTCTGTGAACAACAAAAATGTCTCACCGATTTTTGTCTGGGACAGCGACAAGCAAATAAATTGCCAAACCAAACGCAAAGCCGCTCGCCGTTGCATCGCAGCCGCCCCCGGATTTCCACGGACCACGTGGCCCCCTCCTCTCCGCCTTTGAAGAGTATTTTTTTTTAATTCAGAAGCAACCTGGCCGCCATTACAAATGATAGATGGCTCAACGAAGTGGCTTGGAAATGAATGACAGCCAAATGCGCTATACTCTAAACCAGAGGTCGCAACCGGGTACCCGATACCCTACCCGATACCCGGCTACCCGTACCCGGCCGGGTACGGGTAGGCCGTGAGTCACTGGTGAGTAGCCGTTTGTCACTCATTTCGGGTAGGGTACGGGTAGGGAACAGCTACCCGTACCCGGCCGGGTACGTGTACCCATTTGCGACCCTGGTGCGGCCGGGTACGGGTAAGGAATCAAAACCCGTTTGCGACATCTGCTCTAAACGCATCGCTTGGAAGACTCAACCCCGTGAAGCCAGGGGTTGTTAGGTGGTTTTCCCGGGTTAAAAACAAAAAACCACTCACATGAAGGCCCCGTTCTTTTTAATATGTTACCACGAAAAAGGTCACCGAGCTAGGCGGCTCTTTTTCAGAAACGACCTGGGCCACACACTCGATGACAACTCAACGGCGTGGCTCGTCATCGCGTGGCATTTTATCGCAGACCAAATGCCCTGAACGCAAATGCGGAGGGGGAGGGGGGGGAGAAAAAAACGCGGAGAAAATAATTCCGCACGGCAGAAAACCACGCAAACTCCACGTGTTCCAAACACAGGGGTCGTCAGGGTCGGGACCGAACCTGCGCCCTCCTGCATACCAGGCGAGGGAAATGACATCTCATTGCCACTCATAAGCACGGCGAACTCCGGTGAAGTCACGGAGCGACGGGGTGGACCCCCCTCCTCCTCCTCCTCCCTCATCATCATCCTCATCCTCCTCCACCCATCGGCCGCGGGTATTTAAACTCCGCTCCGCGTCCGGCCCACGGATTCGCTCTGTGCGTGGCCACGCTGCGCCGATTATCGCTCCCCTCCACCGTTGGCATTTTTGTTTGTTTGTTAATCAGCCGCAGAGCTGCGTTGGCCACGAGTTTGCGACTCGAGCACGACACGCGGAGAGTTCCACTGGGAGTCGTTGACGAAAGTGCGGAAGCTCGGGGCCTGTCGAGATTTAGGGATAAATATCGGGAGGTTACTCTCAAAGTCCTCACCGAGCCTCACAGGGTTGCTGATGATTATCGATTATCGTCTTGCTTGGGCAGATTCACCAGTTTGTGTTTGTGTCGCACACACACATTCGGTGATGAGATAGGTGAGGAATCGTCCGATTTAAGCATTTTTTCCGCGCTAACCTATCGTGGATTTGAAAAAAAACCTACATTCACAACTGGGTTCGAGTGACAAATTCCAGCTCCAACATTCGAGTGTTAATTTCCGCTTCGTGAGCACATCGAGTGACAGGAAGCACTGCCCACGTGACGACTCGCACCCTTCGCTCGTGTGAACCTCAGTTTGCTCCCGTGGGGTGCTGCGAACGAGAAGAAGCCGCCACATCGCCCATTCGCGCTGTGGGTGGGTAGTGGTGGTGGGTGGTGGGTGATGGTAGTTGGTGGTGGTGGGTGGGTGGTGGTGGTAGTTGGTGGTGGTGGGTGGGTGGTGGTGGTAGTTGGTGGTGATGGGTGGGTGGTGGTGGGTGGTGGTGGTGGTAGTTGGTGGTGGTGGGTGGGTGGTAGTGGGTGGTGGTGGTGGTAGTTGGTGGTGGTGGGTGGGTGGTGGTGGGTGGTGGTGGGTGGGTGGTGGTGGTAGTTAGTGGTGGTGTGTGGTGGTGGGTGGTGGTGGTAGTTAGTGGGTGGTGGTGGTAGTTGGTGGTGGGTGGTGGTGGGTGGTGGTGGTAGTTGGTGGGTGGTGGTAGTTGGTGGTGGGTGGTGGTGGGTGGTGGTCGTGTGTGGTGGTGGTAGTTAGTGTGTGGTGGTGGTGGTAGTTAGTTGGTGGTGGTGGGTGGTGGTGGGTGGCGGTGGGTGGTGGTCGTGGGTGGTGGTGGTAGTTAGTGGGTGGTCGTGGTGGGTGGTGGTGGGTGGTGGTCGTGGGTGGTGGTAGTTAGTGGTGGGTAGTGGTGGTGGTGGGTGGTCGTGGGTGGTGGTGGTAGTTGGTGGTGGTGGTAGTCGGTGGTGGGTGGTCGTGGGTGGTGGTGGTGGTAGTTAGTGGATGGTGGTGGTAGTTGGTGGTGGGTGGTGGTGGGTGGTGGTGGTAGTTGGTGGTGGGTAGTGGTGGGTGGTGGTGGGTGGTGGTCGTGGGTGGTGGTGGTAGTTAGTGGGTGGTGGTAGTTGGTGGTGGGTGGTGGTCGTTAGTGATGGTAGTTGGTGGTGGGTGGTGGTAGTTGGTGGTGGTAGTTGGTGGTGGGTGGTGGTAGTTGGTGGTGGTGGGTGGTTGGTTGTGGTGGTGGTAGTTGGGTGGTGGTGGAGTCACCAGAACGAGTTGTGGTACCCCGGTGAGGAATCGTCTGAGAGAGACAGGGAGGGGAGGGAGGGGAGGGAGCTGTTGACACCCCCACTGAGCGACCCCCTTAAAGCCGCCCGCTCGTCTGGCTCCCAGCGGACAGTCGTCAGCCCCTGACGCTTCTGCCGGCACGGTCGGCTGCGTACGGCGCGAAAGAAGTTCACCGTACGCACATCGCGCAACACGCAACTCGGGGCCGCAGTGCAACATCACCAACAGCATCAGCGACAACATCAGCAATACATTCCAACGTTAGGGTGCTGGGCTCTGTCATACTCGGCAATCAGCAGCAGCATCAGCAGCATCAGCAGCAGTAGCATCAGCAGCAGCAGCATCAGCAGCATCAGCAGCAGCATCAGCAGCAGCATCAGCAGCAGCAGCAGCATCAGCAGCATCAGAAGCATCATCATCAGCAGCAGCAGCATCATCAGCAGTAGCAGCATCAGCAGTAGCAACAGCATCAGAAGCATCATCATCAGCAGCAGCATCAGCATCATCAGCAGCATCAGCAGCATCATCATCAGCAGCAGCATCAGCAGCAGAATGGATTCTGCGCGCTGTCGCCTGGCGAAGCGCGGTGACCTGGCCGCCGCCTCCCCGAGCCAGAGACTCGTCCACAGCTGCCGGAGCAAGCGGAGCGCCGTGGGCGGTAAGGGACCCGAATCTCTCGCGCGCAACAGACTTTGGTTTTAAACGTGCGTGTGTGTGTGTCGGTGTGTGTGTCGGTGTGTGCGTGTAAGTGTGTGTGTCGGTGTGTGTCAGTGTGTTTCGGTGTGTGTGTGTCAGTGTGTGTCGGTGTGTGTTTGTGTCAGTGTCGGTGTGTGTGTGTCTTGTTGTGCGTGTCAGTGTGTGTGTCAGTGTGTGTGTCGGTTTGTGTGTGTCGGTTTGTGTGTGTCGGTGTCTGTGTGTCAGTGTGTGTGTAGTTGTGTGCGTGTCGGTTTGTGTGTCGGTGTGCGTGTCGGTGTGTGTGTCGGTGTGTGTGTTGTTGTGTGTGTGTCGGTGTGTGTGTCGGTGTGTGTCGGTGTGTGTGTCTTGTGTGTGTCGGTGTGCGGAGCGGTAGTGTAGCGGTTAGTGCACTGCGCTACGAACCCAGCGACCCGAGTTCGATTCCCGCTCACCGCGAACACCAGTGACGATTATCTGAACCGGTCCTGGGCCTCTCCTAGGTCGACTCAGCCTCAAATGAGTACCTGGTGCAGTGGTGTGTAAGCATCATCGTTGCTGGGGAGACAAAGGCGGCCGGGGCGTGGTGTTGGCCACCCACCCCCTCGCTAACAGCACTTGCCCCAACAGTCTTTGAAGGCTATACGGGGGCATCTTTATCTTTGCTACAGTATCCATGGGGAGTTGGTAGTGTGGTGGTCAGCGCTGCACTCAACCCGAGTTCGACTCCTGCTCACGGCCAGCGTCGGTGACGAATGTCTGATCCGGTCCTGCAACTCCCTCTAGGTTGACTCAGCCTCAAATGAGTACCTGTGCCTGATCGGTGCTGGCCACCCCCCCCCCCCCCCCCTCGTGTCATAGGCGCTCGCTAACATCAATCTTGCCGCAAGAGTCTGTTAAAGGCTGTACGGGGGATCTTTGTATTTTGACCTCGCTTTCTATGGACGCGTCCATCTCCACCAGGGACACCCTTGGCAATTGAGAAGTTTTCCTGTCGAAATTACTTGGCGATGTTTTTTCTCGTTATTCACGAGCTTGCTATCCGCGATTCTGGATATCGCGTCTGGAGCTCGACACGACTGCTGCGTCTCGGGAGAGAGAGAGAACGTGATGAGATAAAGTGATGAGAGATAAAGTGACGAGAGATAAAGTGACGAGAGATAAAGTGACGAGAGATAAAGTGAAGGGAGATAAAGTGAAGAGAGATAAAGTAACGAGAGATAAAGTGATGAGAGATAAAGTGATGAGATAAAGTTACGAGAGATAAAGTAAGGAGAGATAAAGTGATGAGAGATAAAGTTACGAGAGATAAAGTGACGAGAGATAAAGTGACGAGAGATAAAGTGACGAGAGATAAAGTGATGAGAGATAAAGTGATGAGAATAAAGGGATGAGAGATAAAGTGATGAGAGATAAAGAGATGAGAGATAAAGAGATGAGAGATAAAGTGACGAGAGATAAAGTGACGAGAGATAAAGTGGTGAGAGATAAAGTGACGAGAGATAAAGTGGTGAGAGATAAAGTGACGAGAGATAAAGTGACGAGAGATAAAGTGGTGAGAGATAAAGTGACGAGAGATAAAGTGGTGAGATAAAAAGAGATGAGAGATAAAGAGATGAGAGATAAAGAGATGAGAGATAAAGTGATGAGAGATAAAGTAATGAGAGATAAAGAGATGAGAGATAAAGAGATGAGATAAAAAGAGACGAGAGATAAAGTGACGAGAGATAAATAGATGAAGAGACGGGAGATAGCGAGATCACTTCTCGAAGCTTCCGACGCATCTGCGGACGCAGCGCGTGCACCGTCTTCGTCGAGAGCCAACGTCGTCGACGTCGTCGCCCACGACATTCGCTGTTCACGAGCATCCTCCAGGAAGTCGCCCTCGCGAATAACGAGGGAGACGCCGTCAGGAATACAACGCTTCGTGTGTGACGTGTGCGTGCGTCCGTGTGTGTGTGATGTGTGTGACGTGTGTGTGTGACGTGTGTGTGTGTGACGTGTGTGTATGTGTCCGTGTGTGACGTGTGTGTGACGTGTGTGTGTGACGTGGGTGTGACGTGTGTGTGATGTGTGTGTGACGTGTGTGTGATGTGTGTGTGACGTGTGTATGACATGTGTGTGATGTGTGAGACGTGTGTGTGACGTGTGTGAAGTGTGTGTGTGTGACGTGTGTGTGTGACGTGTGTGTGACGTGTGTGTGTGTGACGTGTGTGACGTGTGTGTCACGTGTGTGTGTGTCACGTGTGTGTGTGACTCGTGCCTGCTAAGGGAGTCCACGTGACCTCAGACCGAGAATTTTGCGTGCTGGTGACGCGTGAGATCGGGGCACTTGCACCGACCAGCATCTTTGAATGGCCAACATCATTGATCATTACAACAACCAACATCATTGATCATTACAACAACCAACATCATTGATCATTACAACAACCAACTACTTGACGGGCTCGGTGCTAAGCGTGGGCTAGGTATTGTACACGTGCTCTATTGTTGTGTTGCTGCTCAGCGAGGAGAGGGCCCGGGAGTTGAGCGCTGGTATAGAGCAGCCGTTCTTCTTCTTCTTAACCTGGGGCGCATCTCGAGATGCCCTCTGTGGGGGTGCGAGCCACGGCCACATCTTGTTTAGAAGGTTAATCATCGAAAACACAAATTAAGCACACGGCCACGTAAGTTACAACTTACTTTGTGTCATCAAACCCCGACGCGGTTCCTGACATTATTCGTTTGTTTTTAGCGATTGAGAAGCAAATGGGTTGCAGTGCTCCAGTGAAGGTCGATAGGAACCGAGCGGTGTGCAGAGTTCGGCTCGCAATGAGGAGGAACCTCGCGAATTCGATTCCCGGCGGGGGGTTCGGCTCTTCGATGGAATTGTAGCGACGACTCCGGCGGAGTTTGTGGTACGAGTCGGGGGGGCCCTGACGGGGAGTTGAGAGCCCCCCGCGACACTTTCGACGGTGAGACGAGAGGCGTCGTCGCCGCCTTGGCCCGCGCGGCCACGTGGCCGGAGGGCTCTCGAGGGAACGTGATGATGATGATGAATGAACTCATTCATCGGTGAATGAATGGATTCAGGAATGTCAATAAGTGTGCACGTAATTGAAGTCAAACGGCCGGCGCACACACACACACACGTACACATACACGTACACGCACGTACGTACACACAAAGACAAACAAAGATTCCCCCGGTATAGCCTTAACAGACTGTAGGGGCAAGTGCTGTTAGCGAGCACCTATAAAGGCCGGCACGGTACACAAGGGGGTGGGTGGCCAACACCACGCCCGGCCGCCTTTGTCTCCCTAGCGGCGATGTTTAAACATCGCACCAGGTACTCATTTGAGGCTGAGTCGACCTAGGGGAGGCCCAGGACCGGTTCAGATAATCGTCACTGGTGTTGGTCGTGAGCGGGAATCGAACCCGGGTCGCCAGGTTCGTAGTGCAGCACGCTAACCGCTACACTACCGCTTCCAACGCACACACACACACGCACACATACGCACACACACACGCACACACACACACACGCACACACACACACGCACACACGCACACACACGCACACACGCACACGCACACACACGCACACACGCACACACACGTACACACACACACGTACACACGCACACACACGCACACACGCACACACACGTACACACACACACGCACACACACGCACACACACACACACGCACACACACACACACGCACACACGCACACACACGTACACACGCACACACACGTACACACACACACGTACACACGCACACACACGCGCACACACGCACACACGCACACACACAGACACACACACACGCACACACACACACAGGTGCACGAGGGACTGAATGAAGGCGAACGAACCCAATGGAGGCGGTTGTCGGTCTCGGTCGTTCGCTTGGCGCGGAGTGCGGAACGTCGACGAGGCGACGCGGGGTCGCGATCTGCGTCCGTGCCGCAGGAATCCGATGAGCTGCAAAGCTCTTTAGTTTCTCTCTCGCGCGCCCAGGCGTCCAGTGAGCACGGACAGAGCCGCCTCACAGCAGCTCAGCAGAGGCCAGTGACTCTGCTGAGCCGCCTCACAGCAGCTCAGCAGAGGCCAGTGACTCTGCTGAGCCGCGAGTCTACATCGCGATAGAGGGGAGGGGGGCATAGACATAGAGTAGGGAGAGGGGGGGTAGAGAGAGAGGGGGTAGAGAGAGGGGGGGTAGAGAGAGGGGGTAGAGAGAGGGGGTAGAGAGAGGGGGTAGAGAGAGGGGGGGTAGGGAGAGGGGGGGTAGAGAGAGGGGGTAGAGAGAGGGGGTAGAGAGAGGGGGGGTAGAGAGAGAGAGGGGGTCGAGAGAGAGGGGGGGGGGGGAGAGAGAGGGGGGCGAGAGAGAGGGGGGGTAGAGAGAGGGGGTAGAGAGAGGGGGTAGAGAGAGGGGGGGTAGAGAGAGAGAGGGGGTCGAGAGAGAGGGGGGGGGGTAGAGAGAGAGGGTTGGGGCAAGAAGGAGCAGAGCTTGAAATCTTTGGTTAAATCTTTCTTTTAAACAGGGGGGGGGGCACATAAAGCAAAGCATTGAAAAAAAAATGATGAACGAAGCAAAGTGCTGACTACACCGAGGAGCATCTTCTTGTTTCCTCTGATCGTAAAAAAGAGGGGGGGGAGAGGGACATAGAGAGGGGGGGGCAGAGGGAGAGGGGAGAGAGGGGGGGGGGCATATAGAGATAGAGAGGGGGGGAGGGGGTAGAGTTATATCCACTCTGTGTGCAGGACGCAGCGAAGAACGTCACCTGGTTAAATAAAAGGTCCCAGGATGGCGTGTGGCTGGGAAGAGCCACTGCAATAACGCGGCCGCGAAGAGCGATGGGGTCTGGAGGTGTGAAGTGGAGGGGAGTTGATGTTTGGACCATCTGGCCAGTGCGTGTGTGTGTAGTTGTGTGTAGCTTGTGTGTTTGTCTTTGTGTGTACAGACGGTGGTAGAGCATTGGGTTAGCGCTGCGCTACGAAGCGGCCGAGCCGGGTTCGATTCCCGCTCACGGTCAACACCGGTGACGATGATCTGAACCGGCGCTGAGCCTCCCCTAGGTCGACTCAGCCTCAAATGAGTACCCGGTGCGATGTGGTAAACATCGCTACTGGGGAGACAAAGGCGGCCGGGCGTGGTGCTGGCCAACCAATCCCTCGTGTGCCGTGCCGGCCTTCTTGATAGCTGCTACTCGCTAACAGCACTTGCCCCAACAGTCTGTTAAGGCTATACGGGGGATCTTTGTCTCAGTGTGTGCGTGTCAATACTTGAGATGTCAAGACTGTCGAGGTCAAGGCAGCGGCCGCCTTTGTCTCCCCCAGTTCCGATGTTTTAAAATGTGCACTCATTGATTCCCATTGAGCGACTTTCACACCTCCACTCGCGTGGCCGTTTGCATTGTTTGTTGATGCAACTCGCTAAACCGGCCCCGTACTGGACAACTTCAACAACGACAAAAGCGCTTCACAGCTCATCGGATTCTTCCGGGATAAATACACGATTCTCACTTTGATTCCACACTGCACCGGGTACTCAACTTCAGGCTGGGTTCACCCAGGGCCCCATTCGCGCGGATGGATGCTACCCAGTTTGCAAACTGGGTAATAGCGCAGTGCGCTAATCACTATGCCACTACTCCCCCCGTGTAGCCTGTGACAGACTGTTGGGGCAAGTGCTGTTAGCGAGTAGCACCGATGAAGATCGGCACGGACACGAGGGGGTGGGTGGCCAACACCACGCCCGGCCGCCTTTGTCTCCCCTAGTGGCGATGTTTACACATCGTACCAGGTAGTCATTTAACGCTGAGCCGACCTAGGGGAGGCCTAGGACCGGTTCAGATAATCGTCACTGGTGTTGGCCGTGAGCGGGATTTCGAACCCGAGTCACCAGGTTCGTAGCGCAGCGCGCTAACCACTACACCACCGCTCCCCACAAACACCCACCCACAGACACCACAGATACCACACACCCACAGACACACACCCACAGACACAGAGACGTGACTGTCTGGGGTCTCAGCATGTGGTGTCCATGTGGTGTCCGCTCTTAATCTTCACACGGGATCACGCCCGCCGCAGACCCGTGGGCTCACACCGTGGCCTGAACAGCAGCGGTGTCGCCTGCGGGAACACCGACACACACAGATAGAGACAAAGGTCCCCCGTGTAGCCTTCACCAAGCTGTCGGGGCAAAGCTCTGTGATTACGAAGGCCGAAAGGCGCACAAGGCGGTGGGTGACCAGCACCATGCCCAGCTCACGTTTACACACCACGCAAGGTACTCATTTGAGGCTGAGTCGACCTAGGGGAGGGCCCATGACATCTTTAAATAATTGTCACCGGTGTTGGCCGTGAGCTGGAATCTAGCTCGGGGCTCCGGGTCCGTAGCGCAGCGCGCTAACAGCTACACTACCGCTTCCCCACAAACACACACATACACACACAGACACACACACAGACACACACACACAGACAAACACACACACAGACAGACACACACAGACACACACATACAGACACACACACAGACACACACAGACACACACACAGCTAGTCACACAGACACACACACAGGACACACAGACACACACACAAACACATACAGACACACACACAGACATACACACAGACACACAAACACAACAACAACCGCCATTCGCCACTAAGTGGCGGTGACGTCACCACAATACACACAGACACACACACAGAGACACACACACAGAGACAGACACACAGACACAGAGACACACACACAGAGACACAGAGACACACAGACACACACACAGAGACACACACAGAGACACGCACAAACACAGACACACACAGAGAGACACACACATGTGGGCCACATGGCATCTTATTTAATTACCCCTCGCAGCCGCGCGTGGACATCTGGCAGGCAGGAGGGTGCCACCTCCACTCATCCCGCACAGCGCCACCCAGACCACTCGGGCGCGCCGGTGGTGGCGCTGCGACAGTCACGATCACAGAGCCCCCCCCCGCCGCCTCTTGCCACCACGACTCCAATTGTGGATTCAAACTTTTCAGGATTTTTGTTTATTTGAAAAAAAAGAATCACCTGGACTTGTGTACCGATGTTACCCTCGATTTGACTCTGTTTACCGATGTTACCCTGTGTACCGATGTCACCCAATGGCAACACAATTGATGTTACATTGATATTGACCAGATGCTTTGTATGCATCTAGGGCGCTGTGTTAAATGCTTGACGATTCTGGACTGCCCTCCACTTTCAATGCAGCTGCGATGGTTCTCTACGAATCTCCGGTGTTAGCGCGTCTTGTCCAACCAACGTGTGTGTATCTGCGTGTGTGTGTCTGCGTGTGTGTGTCTGCGTGTGTGTGTCTGCGCGTGTGTGTATCTGTGTGTGTGTGTCTGCGTGTGTGTGTCTGCGTGTGTGTGTCTGCGTGTGTGTGTCTGTGTGTCTGCGTGTGTGTGTGTCTGTGTGTGTGTATCTGTGTGTGTGTGTCTGCGTGTGTGTGTCTCTGTGTGTGTGTCTGCGCGTGTCTCTGCGTGTGTGTGTGTCTGCGTGTGTATGTGGCTGCGTGTGTGTGTCTGCGTGTGTGTGTCTGTGTGTGTGTCTACGTGTGTGTGTCTGTGTGCCTGTGTGTCTGCGTGTGTGTGTGTCTGCGTGTGTGTGTATCTACGTGTGTGTGTCTGCGTGCCTGTGTGTCTGCGTGTGTGTGTGTCTGCGCGTGTGTGTCTGTGTGCCTGTGTGTCTGCGTGTGTGTGTGTCTGCGTGTGTGTGTGTCTGCGTGTGTGTGTCTGCGTGTGTGTGTCTGCGTGTGTGTGTGTCTGCGTGTGTGTGTGTCTGTGTGTGTGTGTGTCTGCGTGTGTGTGGGTGGGGAGCGGTGGTGTAGCGATCAGCGCTACGAACCCGGCGACACGAGTTCGAGACCCGCTCACGGCAAACCCCGGTGACGATTATCTGAACCGGTCCTGAGCCTCTCATAGGTCGACTCAGCCTAAAATTGGTACCCGGTGCGGTGTGTAAACATCGCCACTAGGGAGACAAAGGTGGTCGGGCGTGGTGCTGACCACCCCACCCCTTCGTGTGCCGTGCCGGCCTTCATTGTGGCTACTCGCTAACAGCACTTGCCCCTACAGTCTCTTAAGGCTACACGGGGTGGGGGAGGGATCTTTGTCTTTGTCTACAAAGGCCGCCGTGTTTGCTCTCTTGAAGGCTCAAGCCAAGAGGACGGCACGGATGGGAGAGATCTCCACCACCTCCACAACCACCACCACCACCTCCACCACCACCTCCACCACCTCCAGCAGCAGCAGCACCACCAGAGCTCTCACCCGGCACCGCGGGTGAGTCGACCGTCGGTGGATGTTGCCTTTCGGCCGCCAGTCGCGTAGCTAGCGGGGGCGGGCAGCCAGGGGGTACCTTCCCCCCCCCCCCACCCCTTGACATCCACCATGAGATTTGTTTTCAACAACAGTGTCAAGAGAACAACGAACACTGATTTAAAACGGAGCGCCCCGACACCGTTGAATGTGTAGGGGTGTTATGGGAGGAAAACGGACCCTGGGGGGCTGTGGGGGGATGCTGTGATCCCACTAGGCCTCGGCAAGGTAAGGTAATTTTCCCCTTTTACCGGGTAAAAGGGTAAATGTAAAGGGTAAATGTGTCGACATGCCATGGGGTAAGGTAAAGGGTACAGGGTAAAGGTAGCTCGGAAGAATTACTCGGTAAATACGGTACCTTGTTTACCCATTAAAGCTCCGTGGCGCAGGCCGTGGCCTCCATTTAATAAGTAATATTTAAAAAAAACTTTTTAAAAACACGCTTTTATTAAATGTACTCGTAATGGCAGAACTCCACGACTCCAGGAAGTGGCCCCGAGGCTTGCCATAACGTAAGAGACCGTGGACAATTACAGCCAACGTCAGTTGAGCATGGACAATTAGAGCCAAGCCGAAACATAACATAGAAAAAATAATGTTTAAAAATATATCTATTTTTTTATGATAGAATATAGTGTTGTCATCAGTATGACATAAGTATACCAAGTTTGCAATCGATACCACATTAGGAAGTGGGTTAAAATTTAGTTACAAGATTTGAGGATACAACAACGACGACGACAACAACGAACGTGTAAAATTGGAATAATCGAGAGTATTCTATATGATAAAAGCGCTCTACCTAGCATTTACCAGAGGTGGGACAAAGTCATTGTTATGCAAGTCCAAGTCGAGTCTGAAGTCATCAAATTCATGACTCGAGTCTGACTCGAGTCCAAGTCACATGACTCGAGTCCACACCTCTGGCATTTACCGTTATACATGTGTAATAACAGCCATAGAGGGTTCACGTGGGGATTGGCTTGCCAGTCCTGCTCGTAGCCAATAAGGGTTGAGATTGGGACCATGGCCCATGCGTCATCACGACAGGTCATCAGAAGTGATTGGCCTAGCCATTCGGGGCCCCAGCTAATGGGGAGCCGGATGAGGAGCGTGGTCCCGGGATTGACAGGGAACCATCGAGAAGGGTCGAAGCTGTCCATACACGATTGGCTGGGGGAACCACGTGACGAAGGTCTTAAGAGCGAGCGAGAGGGAGCGATCGCGAGCAGACTGAAACTAACAAGAGCAGGGTCACGCGCGGACGGGGCCTCGGGTTGTCACGTGCGCGGAGGGGACTTTGTGCGTAGTCTGTCCTCTCTCCGTTGTCTGCCAGCAACGGAGAGTGAGTGAGGAAAGTGTATGGTGGAGTGGAAATAAAAAGGACTGATTCCGAAGCCGTCTCCTGGAAGATTATTACACATGTGTAGTAGTTCCCCAGTAATTACCCTGTAAGCGGGTAATTTGTATGGGGTAAGGGTAAAAGGTAGGCTCGTTGCTTTTTACCTTACCTGCTAAAGGGTAAAAGGTAAGGGTAGAGTGATGGTATTGTGGTAAGGTAAAAGGTAGGCTCGTTGTTTTTACCTTTTAACTTTTACCTTACCTTGCCGAGGCCTAGATCATCCCACACAGCCCTGCCCCTCGGTGGCAAGTTCGTATAAAAGGCAGAGAGCCAGAGAGCTCGAGGCAGACGTTGGGAACGGGTCAAGATGAAGAACCAGTGAAGATCGAAGGCCAGCTTAGCTAGTCCCTGGAACTCCCTCTGGTCGCTGTCCTTCTAAGTGCCGACTTCGTGTGGCTGGTGGTCGGGATCTGTGCCTAGCCAGGGCCAGATCAGCTCGTCTCCTTGAGAGGACGGGTGGCAGCTAGCCTGGGAGTGCTTACTGCTAATAAACAGTTATACGCTGTGGCTACGCAAGTGTTAATACACGCGTGGAGAGGCCGCTACCTCTTCAGTTATACGCTGTGGCTACGCAAGTGTTAATACACGCGTGGAGAGGCCGCTACCTCTTCAGTTATACGCTGTAGCTACGCAAGTGTTAATACACGCGTGGAGAGGCCGCTACCTCTTCAGTTATACGCTGTGGCTACGCAAGTGTTAATACACGCGTGGAGAGGCCGCTACCTCTCCAGTTATACGCTGTGGCTACGCAAGTGTTAATACACGCGTGGAGAGGCCGCTACCTCTTCAGTTATACGCTGTGGCTACGCAAGTGTTAATACACGCGTGGAGAGGCCGCTACCTCTTCAGTTATACGCTGTAGCTACACAAGAGTTAATACACGGGTGTGGCCTCTAGCTCGACCGTCCCCGTCGTCACTACAAATGTTCGAGGCCGTGAGCGGAATGACGATGCGAGTCGCGACCGTGCAAAGTGACGAATCGAACATTGGGGCCTCACTTGACCCATTGTCGCACCCCGCTGATCTGACAGCGTCGTCACTACGCCAATGTTTGCGGCATTCGATAAAAAAAGCCGCGTTTGCATTCGCCACCGATGGCAACGAGTTTCATTTTTGGTCCAAATTGCTTGAACATTTACCCGCGCGCGCCACTGCTCAATTGGGAAACGCTCATAACAAGGGTCAGCATCAGAATCTCGATTTCGACGAGAGAAATCCGATGACCTATGAAGCTGTTTTCACAGAACCCCTCCCTTGAAAGGGAGTTGAGATTCGGTGAGGTCCGTGCTGTGCCTAAACAAACCGGAAGGTCGTGGGTTCGATCCCGACCCTCATGAGACCTGCATGTTGAACTTCTTTCGCACCGTACGTAGCCAACCACGCTAATCGGAGGTGCGGGGGAATGACGACAAACTAACACACACAAGCGGTTCTAAAGAAATGAGTTTGTCAATGTAGATGATGATTTAAAAGTGCATAGCTCCGGTGGCTTCCTGATATCGGAAGGAAGAGCGTTCCAGACGGCCGCAGAAGCGCATCTGACAGTGCTATCCATTTGCATGGTCTCCCTCTGCTCTGCAGAGTATGTGAGTGTGTGAGTGTGAGAGTGTGTGTGTGTGTGTACGTGTGTGAGTGTGTGATAATGTGTGTGTACGTGTGAGTGTGTGTGAGAATGTATGTGTGTGAGAGTGTGTGAGTGTGAGAGTGTGTGTGTGTACGTGTTTGAGAGTGTGTGAGTGTGTGTGAGAGTGTGTGAGAGTGTGTGTGAGTGTGAGAGTGTGTGAGTGTGTGTGAGTGTGTGTGAGAGTGTGTGAGTGTGTGTGAGCGTGTGTAAGCGTGTGTGAGTGTGTGAGAGTGTGTGTGTGTACGTGTTTGAGAGTGTATGTGTGTGAGAGTGTGTGAGAGTGTGTGTGTGAGAGTGTGTGAGTGAGTGTGTGAGAGTCTGTGTGTGTACGTGTGCGGGGAGCGGTAGCGGTTAACGACGCCGCACTACGAACTCGCGACCCGAGTTCGATTCCCGCTCAGCGACCAACACCGGTGGCTATTATATCTGAACCGCTCCGGGACCTCCCCGAGGTCGACTCAGCCTTGCTTCTCCACCCCCCTCCCCCCTCCCCCCGGCAGCAGGAGTCCCTTGACGTGGTGAGGCCGGGCGCGCCGTGCCTGGACGTGGCCGGCCTGCTGGCCTGCGCCGGGTGCTCCGGCCGCGTGCGGCCCCCGATCCGCCAGTGCCCCCGGGGCCACCTCGCGTGCACCCCCTGCACCGTCGCCGCGGGGCCTTCCCCGCGGTGCCCGGCGTGCTGGGGGCCGGCGGCCGCGGCCAGGAACCTCGCGCTCGAGAGGCTGGCACTCATGTGCGGGGTCGCCACCTAGCGCCCCCTCCACGCCCACCCCCCTTCCCCACCCGGGAGATCTCCTCCAGCAAGCCGTGGAAGACCTCCTGGGGTCTTCCTCCTGCTGGGGTCTTCCTCCTGCTGGGGTCTTCCTCCTGCTGGGGTCTTCCTCCACTACAATTCGCACGAGCGGGCGACGTTCGCTGCGACAGAAGTTTGATGTACATGCGACGTACAGTGCCCGGGGCGACTGTTGATACTTGCCGGACGATGTGCACTGAACGTTCTACTTGTCTACTGGCCGACTGTGAAAACTACTGATATCTCTGAACTACTGGACATTGTGAAAAAGGCTTTAGAGCTCATCGGATTCCTCCAATCTAAACAAAGATTATGAATGTAGGGGGCCCTATTGTAAAGTTTGACATCTCGGGACCGGTCCCCTCCTCCCAGCCCCCCTTTTGGGAAGTTCCGAGATCCTCCCCCCACGCCCCCCCCCCCCCCACGTGCCCCCCCCCCTACGTGCCCCCCCACGTGCCCCCCCACGTGCCCCCTCCACATGCCACCCCACGTGCCCCCCCACGTGCCCCCCCTACATGCCCCCTCCACGTGCCCCCCCCACGTGCCCCCTCCACGTGCCCCCCCCCCCCCCAACGTGCCCCCCCCCTGGAGTCGCGGGTTTTGTGGGACAAAAACGGTCGTGGATGATTGGAGTGACGTCACGGCCGCATCCCAGCTGGAGATGGAGCGATGAAATGAGATCGTGTCCAGCGGGTGCTGGGTGGATTGTTTACTTGCATGGATCGGGGAGGTGTGCATTCATCCAGCTGTAGATCGGCCGTGGCTGAAGATGATGATGTTACAATACATGATGTTCTAGTTACAATATATTTGTCCATATTTCACCACTCGTGCCTCACAATAAGAAGCCCCTGGGTTCGATTCCCGATCTTTCTGTGTAGAGTTTAACACGTAGAAGGCTTTCACGACCAATATTATTGATAATAGTATGAGTCTCTATTCTGGCAAATCGCCCTGGATGTAATTACCAGCGAAACGTCGATCTGCTCAAATTGTAATTGTTGTGGATTTACACTCCAACACACCGGTGGGCTGAAGTGGTAACTAATTGGCGTTTTGTTCACGTGACAAATCCCTTACTAATTGTTTTTTATACTCACGCGATCTAACCCAAAAACCTTTATTATGGATTCCTGTGTAGGGTTTGTACGATCTCTCCCCTGTTCTTCGTGGGTTTCCTCCCAAACCACGCACAATGCAACCAAACAACATCCCAATGCTGCTGACAACTCCAGCTTGGATGATTACCTACAAGACCATCACTCAAAACTGCTCTAGAGGAGTCGTACAACCCGAGGTGCCAATGCTATCCAGTGGCCTGAAATCAAATCTATAGCTATAGATGACCAATGCGAGAAGTTATCATGTATTTTGATTAGAGTGTGCTGCTGCTACTACTGTTGTTACTCCTGCTATTATGGATTGACTCATGCCGCTAGCGAAGGATGCTAGGTTTACTAATGTGTTATGTATATCGCTATTGTAAACTTTCAATCACATTTCTTATGATCACTGTTACATTGTTTTATAGCATTATTTTAGTAATTTCTAGAAAGGTTTAGTTTAGCCCGATTTTTTTTATGTAGTATAGAGTTATACTTAAACATTTTAATCTACATTGTATTATGATTGTTATTGTGATCTAACATCAAAATGGGATTTTTTGCACATTTTGTACGCAGCATAAACAAACGGTGCCTTTTTTGGAAGATTTTGTTGTTTTTGTAGGTGATGTTTCAATTTGCGTACAGCAAATTTGTAATGTATCTTGTAATGTTATTGTTTGTTGCGGTTGCACCCGAATCAAGAGCCGAATGGCTCACTGGGTTATTCCAAATAAATGAAACTGAAAACTGAAACTCAAATGGGATCACACGCAGCACCTGCATCAGCATCGCCGCCTCCTGCGTAAAACTCGGCAGGAATCTCCAACAGAGAGAACCCATAGAGATGGCACAGATTCAGAGACTCATATAGATACCCATAGAGAGGTATATAGACACATAGAGACCCATAGAGATACAAGGAGATCCACAGAGACTCGTACAGATACATAGAGGCCTATAGAGATACATAGAGACTCATCGGGATACAGAGACCGATAGAGATACACCGAGACCCATAGAGACTCATGGGGATACAGAAAGACCCATACAAATACAAGGAGACCCATAGAGATACATAGAGAACCATATAGATATATGGAGACCCATATATACATAGACCCACAGAGAATCATAGGGATGCATAGAAACCCATAGAAATGCACAGGAACCTATAGAGACTCATACAGATACATAGAGACCCAATGAGATACATTACAGACGAGCCACTGAGGCCATGCAACACAAACTATAAACCGGTTTCGCGGCTCCTTCAACAGAATACGACGCAGTCTCTATCTCTGCTGAAGCCCCCTCTCGTCGTGGCAGCAGCAGACTTCGACATTGCCACCTAGCGCCTGAACTACATCGCTACTGCCAACATAACTCAAGCCTAGGGTAGAATGCGGTGTCAGTGGGGCGCCACGGTGGCTAGGAGATGTTAACTACCTCGCCTGGTATGCAGGAGGTCGTGGGTTCATTCCCGACCCTGACGATGCCTGCTGCTGTATATTTGGAGTTTGCAGTGTCTCTCTCTCTTTCTCCCCGTGGTCGCGTGGATTAATCTCTGGGTCGTTCGGTTTTTCCTCCACATTTAGAATCAACAACACGTGTTTAGAGTGTTTGGCGACTATGAATTTCCACGTGATGATAAGCCACCACTTCGTTGAGCTATCGTTTGTGGCCGGGTCGCTTCTGAAAAAGAGCTACGTAGCTCAGTGGGCCTTACCTGGTAAAATACTAAAAAGTAGATTATAGTGTAGTGTAAAAATCACCCCGCCGGCTCTGCAACAACGACGACAATAACCCCACAACTCAACATCGCAAGCGGTGCGGTGTTAAAACTCGCCACTCGCGTCGACGTTTTCCGCGTCCTTGATCTCGCCCGAGACGTTTCCAGAGCGCGGTGTGACGCGTGGTGTGACGCGTGGGTGACGCGCAGTGACACGCGGTGTGACGCGTTCCACGGGGCTTCAGTGACGTGTTTGTCTCCAACTCCGCCCCCACCCACCACGACCGCGTGTTCTCAGTCACGTGCCCTTCGGCGTCCGCGAGGTGTCGCTGTGGTCAGAGCGCGATGTTCTCTCGGGTCAGGGGTCGGCCATCTGCGGCTCGCTCCGGAGAAGCATGCGGCAAGTGCCGGATGAAGCTGATGCGGAGCCTGTAGCACGATGTTATAAAGGGGCCCTAATAAAAAAAACACGTAAATATTAGGACACACATTTTTAACTTGCACAGTACAGTAATTCGATTTTTTTAATTGGCTATGCAGCCAGAAAATACGACAAATCGTTAACCTTAAACACCCATTCGTTCGTAAAAGTAGAAGGCGGTATAGTACTATAGTAATAGAGCAAGTGCAGAATCACTGAAGCGGAATTGATAGCTTGAAAGCATTTAGCGCGGGGCCCTTGAAAGTGCGGGGCCCGTAGCATCTGTAGCTACTTGTGCAGCTACTTTCGCGACGAGGATAATCCGGCACTGCATGCGGCGGCTCTTGAAGGCCTTGATGCTTCGTCACAACCCCCAAGCCCCCTCCGCCTTCTCTGATTCGTCCGTTGTTTTTTGACCGATATCGTCGATGCCCCTGGCAATGCCGGCCAGGACGTCGGGATGTTGCAATGTATGATGACGTGAGGATGTGGAATAGACGCACGGCTACAATATATTAAAAGCCAGAACACCGATGTCACGCGAACTCCGCGGGTGACGTCACTCACGTGGAGGACCCCCCCCCTCATTAATAATCATGAGTGGGTGACGTCACTGCACATGGGGCACCCCCCTCTCATTAATAATCATGAGTGGGTGACGTCACTGCACATGGGGCACCCCCCTCTCATTAATAATCATGAGTGGGTGACGTCACTCCACATGGAGCTCTTCCTCAATAATCATGAGCGGGTGACGTCACTCTACATGGAGCACCCCCTTCATCAATAATCATGAGCGGATAACGTCACTCGTGGACCCCGCCCCCACCCCTTCATTAATAATCAAGAGCGGGTCATTATTTAAATCCTTTATATTAAGTTCACTTGCTTGCTTGCTTGCGCGCTTACGACCGTGCAAATCTTTCGATCGTTTTTTAACCCACTTCCCGTGATCCAAATCGAGCTGACATTTTGCACACAGACTCGTTGTGCGTGACAATTTATTTTCGTGAAAAAAAATTCCCATAACTTTACACTTTTTAGGAATTTTTTTTTATATTTAATTACCAATTGCTTAATGGTGGCAGGCAATCATCTGACCCATAGGTGGCAGCCATCTCAAGCCAAAGCACGAGAGGACTCTAGCCGCCACGCATATAAAGGTTTTATAGTGAAAAACTTTGTTTTACGGGTTAATTTTTTTTCGATTGATTTCAGATTAGCTGCAAACCACCCGTTCTTGGATGGGCTACAGGCCACGTTTATCTAAACAAGATGACTCGCTTCATGACATTACGTTGTAAAGGCCCCAACCGTCTCCTATTCACGAAGTGCACTGCGCCTCTTGAAGTGTTGAGCTTAACGACCAAAAATTCTATTTAAAAAAAATGTCTCTTCTTGTTATTTTGGTGACCGATCCCTGTTCTCGGTCGACTCAGCCCAAAGCCCAGCGCGCCTCGAGGGCACCTATCGTGTCGCCTTGGGGTGGTCACGCTGGCAGGGTCGGTCCCCTGCTCATTGATGCTTTCGAGGCCATGTCACACACAGCACAAGCCCTGTTGACGTACCACAAGACGGGACTTCTATCCACCCCGCTGGTGCGATGACCGTATAAAGAACCCTGCTGCGGCTTTTAGAGTGCATTGGTTGACGCGTCCCCGTATTGTACCCATCATTTTCTATCAGTATTCACGCTTTGTTTTTGGTTCCCCACGATGTATTTATTAGTTTGTTGCCTCAAGCCAAAATGAGAAGTCGTGGGCAGTCGATGGTCATTTGATAATTTCCATACGAGGTCCTGAACTGGTGTTAAAAATTGAATTATTTGGTGGGGTGCGGTTCTCTTCAATGACCCCCCCCCCCATCATCCACTCTTCTTTTGGGTCTCTCCCCCCCCCCACCTCGCCCCCCACCACATCCCCTCAACCCGCAATGTCTACCAATCGTGCTGTCGTCAGGTGCAGAGACAATAGAACCCACGTGGAAATGTCGTCGGTCGGTGTCCCGTGCGTCCGTCAGTCTCCCTCCGTGGCGAGCGAAAAGCCTCGCGCTAAGGGACCGTCCATAAATGACGTCACGCGATTTTGGACGATTTTTGACCCCCCCCCCCCCGCATCGTCACACGGCGTCACAAAAAGTCAGACCCCCCCCCCCTCCTCAAATATGACGTCACAAAGCTTTGCCCCTCCCCAAAAAATAAAAATGCTTCAAATTGCTTTAAACTATTGTCATTGTAGTGCGTATTTTATGTGACGCTGCACTCTGATGATTGAGAAAACATTTATTTAAAAGTCTATTTTATTTAGAACGTGTTGTCGATATTTAAAGTTGCGCATTTTGATGTGACGTCACATTTCTCAAACCCCCCTCGTCACACATCGTCACAAATGTCTGACCCCCCCCCCCCCCTAGGTGCATGACGTCATTTATGGACGGCCCCCAAGCTATTTAATCGTTTTCCCACACCGCGACACATCCCCGTTCACAGAGCACCCATTTCTAATGCCAAGGCACCAACCCACCGCACGCCAAAGGTCCCGGGCAGACCGGCCGTCACACTGACCGCAAGAGGTCGGTCACTGATCAGGTTACTAGAGGGCAACTTACACCGGCTGCGTTGAATCTCGTCATGGAGCATAAACCACCATCACGCGAACTCCGATGGTCATCCTCGCGGTAGCAGCGGCTTTTGGCTGCGAGCCATCGAACAAAGACGGCCACCGGCATCGCGCGCTTTCGGATGCCCTTCTGCGGCCGTCTGGAATGCTCTTCCTTCCGATATTAGGAAGCCAATGGGAGCTATGCGCTTTAAAATCACCGAGATTGAAACGGATTTCTTTAGAACTGCATTTTGTGTTGAGTTTGTCCTTCCCCGCGCACATCCGATGAGCACGGTTGGCTAAGTACGGTGCAAACGAAGTTCAACAGACATGCGTACAGGTCCCCCATTGTAGCGAGCCCATGGTCTCAGCCGTCTGATCTGGCTCTCCATGACTTGTTCAGTGTGCAGGGCAGTGGTGACCTTCTCTTCGTGTGACCACTGGTAGCTCCTCCGCCTCACTTGAAACGTGGTTTACCGGAGATGAGATTTTTTTCGATATATTTCCATAGAATGTATGCGTGCTGTTAAAACCTCTGGATCTTTGCGGTGTTTTCAATTGTCAAAAATGTATCGCTTTCGTCAAACGCATGCACGCAAAATCAAAGTGTTTACGTACAATAGTAAAACAATTAATAGCAGTACAAAAAACAAGAAACAATAGTTGGTCATTGTTTTTTAATATCACAAATAATTTTTGTTACAGTATTTGTTGTACATAAACAACACTGCTGTGCTACACAAATGTGAAACAATAAAATTATTCCGCATCTCCAGGGAGTGCTTCTTCACCTCCTCCTCCTCCTCGTCACGATGCAACGTCACAGTAGACGCGGAACTGGCGTGGGATGGAAGTTGAACCACGCGGAGAGACGAAGCATCATGGGCGGTCTCCGCGCGATTCAAACAGGGTCACGGGGTTTCACGTCACAGGAAGTGACGTTGTAAAGGCGGAGCAGAGGACCATGGCGCTCGACAAAATGGGTGCCGGGCCACGTGCGAAAACGCTCCACGCGTTTGGTGACGAACCAGCGACGAACTGGTGGATGAGTTTGGTTCAAAGAGAAACTTCCCCGACCCTCACCCCCTCCATCCAACAACCTATTTTCCACTCTCGCCCTCCCTCCAGCATAAACTCACCGCAACATTACCGGGTTGGGTAAGCGCAGTCCCTACCTGGAGTGAATTCTCGGCATCACTTAAAACGTCGGTCTAAACTCGCTTTCTTGACAATCAAACATTTTACTGCACTCTCCTTTTTAAGGGGGCGGGTGGGGGCGGAGGGGAGGGGACAACAAATCATGGGGAAATTGACCCTGTGGATTATTTTGTAAATCCGAATGATGCTGAACGAGCCCTCGAGAAAGTGAGGAAACAACACATAAGCGATGGCGAGCGAACGACCTAAATAAAATACGCCACCCGTTCACGTTCCGCACAGCGCCAATGGGAATACCTTCGCGTACGTAAATGTGATAAACTGTCCCGAAAGCACTTCACAAATGTGGTCATTTTGTTTTGCACACTGGTACACTTTAAGGTCACCGGTCGAACGGGCATTGGCTCATCACAACATCGAGCAATTGTGTTTTACAGGCTGTGCATTGACAATAATCAATAACTTAAAACACACACACACATACACACACAACACCGTTTTCCTTAACTCATCACACCACCAACGTTTAGCCTGCTCCTCTCCTCCTCCCACGTTCACAACTCCAGCCGACAAACACGTGGCGTCATCGTCGTCATCGCTCCCACCGAGATCGGCCCAGAGGCAGCAGCGGATGGGCGCAACAAGTTGCGAGCGACGTTAAAACCACGAGTCGTGTGCAACTCAAGCGGAGCGACGTTAAAACCACGAGTCGTGTGCAACTTAAGCTTGGCCAGCGGAGCGACGACGCGGGGCCAGCCGAGCACTCGGCAATGGGTTGTGAACCACGCGGTCAAATTTGGCCGGGGGTCGTTTTCCCCAGGAGAATCGGAAAAAGAGGGGCAGCAGCTACTGCAGCTACTGCTGCTGCTTAGAGATTAAGTTCGGGTTGTCGAGGCGACACAGCGCGATGCGGAGCGAACGGCCGCGTCGATTCGTATGAAGTGGATGCGTCCCCGAGAGGAGTTTGGGCTCCGAATGGGAATTCAAGTTACGGCCTTTAGAACATTAGGGGCGCAACGCCAACTGCGTCTTGCATCCCAAAGTGCGTTCATTAAACTGCAACACGCTGCGGCGTTCTTAGTTTTTGTTTGGTGGGTGTGGAAATTTCCAGCTGCATTTTGTTGTGTCCTGGAATTGTTTACTGCTTTGAAATCGGGATTTCTTTTTAACGTTGCCGGCTCCTGTCGTATTCCCGCCGCGTGCTCCAATTCTTCCCATTGCTGTGCCTCAAAAACGGCGAGTCTTGCCTGCCAAGCAGACCTGCTGCTGCTGCATACCGCTGCTGCTGTTGCTGCTGCTGCAGAGAGAGGGGGCAACACTTGTATGGCCGCAAAAAGGCAGGTAAGTAAGCACGCTAAAGAAATTTAAGAGATGTTGCGGGGGGGGGGGGGGGGGGCCTTAAGACCACTCCAAGAATGAACCCGCGGGTATTAAGTGTTGTCGTATTAGTTAGTGTGGATTTATGAACAGCCGGACATATGCCAAATACACCAACACCAAATACAGCACTGCTTTGATAACGATTACGGTATAAATAAGGCTAAGATGCATTTTTTTTCATTTCACAAGTACAATCCCATCCCTTTGAATAGGCTGCATTTCCATAATAAAGATGTTTTGGTTGAAATCGTGTGAACCATAAATGTGCCGTTAAATGTACTTAAAGACCTAAACAGGAGGACTTCTTCACTTTTTTTCTGGCTGATCGCCTGATGAAGCTGGTTGTTGTAATCACCAGCGGAAACATCACTGTACTCCAATAGTAAATGTTGTAGTGGGCTTACTCTCCGACACACTGGTGTGCTGTGCCAGTAAGTAATTGGCACGTTTTGTTCACGTGACAAACCTTACTAATTGGCTGTGTCGGGTGGTGGTGGGTTTAACGACACATTTATATTTTACGCGATGTAACCCACACAAAAAAAACATTTGATGGATATTGGTCGCGAAAGCCCACGTGTTCAACTAGACTGCATTTACAGTTATACGCATTTGTAAAAAAAAACGATAGCAAGTCTATTCAACGTCCAGTATCGAACCAGGCGAGGGCCCGATGCGAAAGATTATCTCTGTTGAGAAATTATTTCAAATTGGCGTAATCAAAAATTTGCATTTTGCTGCACACTCTAGCGTCGTTTCATCACGGAGAGATGTTCATTCCGTGTACGGTTTATACATTGTTGCAATGTTGTACTTTTAAACACCGGCTTCAACCTCTGGCCTTACACGTGATCGCTGGTGCAACGGTATCGATTAAGTTGAACAACACAAGAGGATTCTTAAATTAACGGTTCAGGTGTAAATGTCCCCAACAATTACGTTGTGACGCCATCAGCTCTCAGCTAAATCTACCCAGCCACAGCAAGCTGCCGATGGGTCGGGACTGCTGACTTTTGAACCAAACAGGCATCTCCGTCTTGCAAATGAGCTCGGGCGTGGAAACCGCTGCCTGCGAACATCCAGTGTAAAATTATGGCATTGTGGAACGAACAAGAGTCAAATTCCCAAAGCGAATGTAAAAAACAATTATTGTAAACTCAAAAGAAAGCTACCCGACTGAACCCCAAACCTTGTGTTCACAACGGACACTCGCGTACCAACCGAGCGTCTTGTAAACCAGGGGTTTCCATCTCTCAGAGGACACCTAACCCCCCCCCCCTACCCAGATAACCTAATGCTCACCCCTGAGCGACCGCTGGGAGCGATCAGGATCCCTGCACGGATGACAGAGGACCCCCTTGACGACCGAGCGCCGCCGCCGTTGTTGTGAACAAACCAAAACGCACACCCATGGCACGCGCGTTCACTTTCGCATTTTACATGCAGCAGCAGCAGTCCCCCCCCCCCTCCGTGGTTGTTCTCGTACGGGTACAGCTTGACGAAGCCAAAGCACACCGCGGACGAGACGCGCCCAACAGTCGATGTTTTTTTTACTCGCTGACATTTAAAAACGTAGTTCCGCGACCGACAAACACGCTGGCTCAGGCCTGGTTGTTTAGCCCATTTCTTCCCGATATCGGGAGACGCTGGCGGACGTGGCCCCGGTGTCGGCAAGCACCGATCGCCGCCCCATCGCACCACTCGGTTAACGGCTCCAATCCAGCGATCGTAACCCCGTGGGCGGTGTTATTATGAACGCTAAACACATACTACGTGACGTCCGCTTCACGGTAGGACTAACAACAGTAAAGAAAAACATCACGCGATGTAATTCGCAAGAGTCGGGGGCCGCATCGTGCCACCGGCGGGGGTCACGGTCAAACATTTTGCCCGAATTGTGAAACAATCACACTGCAGATTACTCAAAGGGAATATACGCAACAATCATCACCCCCCCCAACCCCACCACTGCGAAAAAACTTGGCAAGACTTCCTTCCTGGGTAAACAAGCGTCGTAATAATCCTCTTCAGGCCTTCTAGACAAAACTTTTAGAGAGGTTAAATTGGAGCGACACCAGCTAGCACCGGCGTGCGTGCTAAACAAAATCGGGTTTAGCATCTGCCCTGATCGCTGAACAAAGGTGAACCACATTTTGAAAAGTTTTTCGGTATATATTTTTTCACCTTTTGTTCGTGTAAAGTAAACAAAAGAAGCAAGCCAAGTGATAATTTATGGGTATCGACATGAAAAATAAAACCGAGTCATTTTTATCTTTCGACGTTTCACAACTGGGACGTGAACGCTTGCGGCAATACAGGATGCTTCAGAAAAATGCTAACACTTATATGGGACTATCGTTTTTAATGAACAAATTACGGATAATACACTGAAACATGATAACAAATGTAATGTTAATAGCTTCAAAAAGTCAAATAGTCTCCACTTGTTCGCCATCATTGTCAACACGTGCCTGGAATCTTCTCCAGGTGGTCTCCAGAGCCCGGAGGCAGCACATTTCCTGTGGCGTGGTTGCAAATTCTCAGAAGTGTCAAGACATTTTGAAGCACCCTGTATTCTCGGAGAAGGCAAACGGGGAATCTGCCAATTGGAAACATCGGTTGGTGGCTGTGTGGCGCGTAACGGTGGCCGGAACTGGCTGGAATGAAACAAGAAGATTGGCGTGAGCGCGGAGAGGCTGTGAACATCTTCGACGCAACAAGCGAGTGGTGAGAACAGACGATGTGTTTAAAAAAACAGAAAACCGCTTGAGAGATTGCGCAAGACACGGGCGAGAGGCCGAAAGGTTTACAAAAACTCAAAATACGGATAGACACGGAGAGGACATGCGACACCGATGTGACGACGCTCGTCCGCTTATTTGCATCAAAAATATAAGTGACATCTTTAGAACGCGGGCTTCCACCGGGGGAGGGAGTCACAACTTAAGGCTTTCTTCATTAAGAGTCCACCGCGCCCATCATTCGAACGTCATCTGTGCTCGTGCACCCTCCGGATAAGGTCCCGGGGGTCACACTGTGTCCCGGAAGAGAAGCAGGCGTTTGAAAATTTGGTCCTAAAGGGAAAGCTGTTCGGGTGGCCACAAGTTGCAGACCCGCTTGAAAATAATCGCACTGGTTTTTGTTTTTGTAATATATACGTATATCATGTGTGTATTTGACGAATGTCCCACGGAACCGGAAGCGATGGCTACCGGTGCGACACGGGCCACCTGCGTTGGCTTCAATTCCTGCCGGGCGCCAACGCGGTCCACCGGATCGCCGGGTCCCATCGGCCAACGGCCGGAAAAGCCGCCGCTCGGCGCACGCACAAAACGCTAAATTCCACGCAACTCGCCGGGGGAAAAACTGGCCCCACGTGCGTCGACCGCCCGCATCCACGTGCCGTGTGTCGCGTCCTCATCCTCGCCCCGCCGCTCCGTCTTGCGCCAATGCCGACTGAGAAACGAGGCGGCCCGGAGCTGCCACTTTCAGTTGAGTCCTTCAGGCATCGCTCAGCCGTTTCCGCACCGACCCCTCCCGGCACACGAGGGAGCCTTCACGCGAAGCTTGCACCAAGTGGCCGGTCCTCGCTTGGGTGATCGGGCGAGCGGCAGTGCGGGTGGTCGTGAGCGAACGAGTGCCAGCCCTCACCCCGACCGGACAGGCAAGGCGCTAGGAGGAGCAGGGCTGCACGGCGTTGCGCATTTTGATGTCCTTGCGGCACAGCGGGCACACCTCGAGCTGCAGGGCGCACGGCATGCACAGGTCCCTGCGCACATGGCCAAGCGAACAACACACACGCGGTGACGCCACCGGCCTGATCGCCGCATCGGTGACGGTGTCGGTGCTACTTACGACAGTCACGGTCACGGTGAAGGTGTCGGTGTCGCTGCTGGTGATGATGATGATCATTACGACCGTGATGGTCACAGTGAAGATGTCCCTGATGGTGATGACGACGATCGTGACGATCGTTATGACCATGACGGTCGCGGTGAAGGTGTCGCTGATGGTGATGATGGTGTTGGACATGCTGGCGATCGCGTGTTCCCCCCCCCCCTTCTCCCCCACCCCCCTATCGTCCTCACCGGTGTCCGCACGGCAAGAGCTCCGTGTCGGCCATGTTGTCGCAGCACAGCGAGCACGAGTTCTCTTTGATGCTCAGCTGCCGCAGCAGGGCCAGCTTCATGTGCCTGGCGGGACACGCGGCGCGCGCAACAAAATCAACAACCGCGAGCGCCAAAATCAACGACCGCGGGTGCCAAAATCTACGACTCCGAGCGCCAAATTCTACGGCTGCGAGCGCCAAAGTCAGTGACCGCAAGCGCCAAAATCAACGACCGCCAGCGCCGCTCACGGGGGGGTCGTGACAACGCCGCAGGCAGCCCTCGCCGACACGGTAGAAGCCCGCATGCTCCGGTTAGCGCAACGGCCGGCGCCTTCCCGATGGCGACGTGCAATGCTCCGCGATGCCGCCAGACTGTTTAGTGGTGTCCGTGACTTCACTCTTTTACTATTTTTATTTTACCAGGTATGAAGATGCAACATGGCCACAAATTATAGCTCAGTGAAGTGGCTTATCGTCACGAGGAAATTTATAGCAGCAGCCAAATACGCGCGATGTTGATTCTAAATGCAGAGGGGAAAACCGGAGGACCAGGAGAAAAATCCACGCGACCACCACGGAGAGAGAGACACGCAAACTCCAAATATACAGGAGGCGGCGGGCACGGGGGTCCGGGATCAAACCCATGACCTCCTGCACACCAGGCGGAGGTAGTTAACATCTCCTTAGCCACCGTGGGGCTTGGAAAAAAACTACAAATTGGCAGGACCCTCCTCAAAAAATTGTCTTGAGACTCGGCGAGGCTGATCGGGGTCAACAGGCGCAGCAGCAGCAGCAACAACCACCACAAGTACGCTCGAGAGCGTGGCTGGCCGCGCGCCGGACGAACGGGTCGATGGAGGACACGACCTCCGCGAGAGGTCAAGCCTGTTGGCCGTGCCTGGGCAGGATGAGTTTGTCCTGGCTGTTGAGCGTGGCGCACTCGTTGAAGGTGGAGAAGCGCACGGCGGGCGGGTGCTTGAACGGCTGCGCGCCGAAGTTGAACTCGCACTGCTGGTAGGACATGAAGCTCGCGGCCGCAAAGAACCCCGACCTGTCGGGAGGCACAGGGTGGGGGTGGGGGAACGCGACATGGCCGCGTGAACGCACGCACGACGGATTGCGCTGAGCACGGTGGAGAAACCGGCACGGGTACCAGCACGGCACAGGCGGTTTGCCAGCGGCAATTTAACCGAGTTGAACCGGAACGGAAGCTGGCCTTCAACATCCAAATCTGGCTGGGGGGCAGGTCTGTGCTAGGGGTGTGTGTATGTGTGTGTGTGCTAGTGTGTGTGTGCTAGTGTGTGTGTGTGTGTGCGTGCTAGGAGTGTATGTGTGTGTATGGGGAGTGGTAGTGTAGCGGTTAACGCGCTGCGCTACGAACCTGGCAACCCGGGTTCGATTCCCGCTCACAGCAAACACCAGTGACGATTATTATCTGTACCGGTCCTGGGCCTCCCCTAGGTCGACTCAGCCTCAAATGAGTACCTGGTGTGACGTGTAAACATCGCCACTGGGGAGACCGGGCGTGGTGTTGGCCACCTACACCCTCGTGTGCCGTGCCGGCCTTTATAGGTGCTCGCTAACAGCACTTGTCCCTACAGTCTGTTAAGGTTATACGGGGGATGTTTGTCTTTTTGTGTGTGCCCTAGCGTGCGTGTGCTCGTGTGTGTTTGTGTGCTAATGTGTGTTTGTGTTCTTTGACTTCCCAGAGGCATAAATATCACATCTCGGACGGGAACATATTCAACATCAACCGTTTCAAAGCCAAGTCGAAAACATCAATCACATCCGTTATTGAATTCAAATATCCTGATGATGCCCAAGTCAGCACCTGCTCAGAAGCTGACATTCAGGTCATCGTCAACATGTTCACAGACGCTTACAGCAGGATTGAATACCAGCAAAACAAAGATCCTTTTCCAACAAGCTCCGGGAGGACAGATCCCACCCACTACAATCACTACCAACAATGCAATTCTAGAAATTGTTCCCAGTTCCCCATACTTAGGCAGCCATCTCTCTAGCAATGTCTTCATCGATTATGAAATCCAACATCGGATTGCCCGAATTAGTGCTGCCTTTGGAACACTGAAGAACAGGGCCTTTGAAGACCACGACATTACGGCCGAGACCCAAGTGGTTGTGTATAATGCTGTGATCATTCCAAACCTCTTATATGGGTGCAGAAACCTGGACCACCTATCGTAAACACGTAAAATCTCTCGAAATCTTTCCTCGACGCTGTCTCAGGAAAATACTCAACATCACCTGGGAAGAAAGACGAACTAATATCAGTGTCCTAGAGCGATCCAACTCATCCAGCATAGAGGCCACCATGATGAAGTATCAAATCAGATGTGCAGGTCACCTTGTGGGGATGAATGACTGGAGGCTTCCTAAGCAAAGCTTCTGTTCCCAGCTCAGGGACGAATCACGTTGCCCCCGGAGGTCAAAGGAAGTGTTTCCGTGACAACCTTAAAATGCACCTCAAGCCAAGTCACATAGATCCAAACAACTGGGAAATCAATGCTCTTGATAGACCATCGTGGAGGGCCAAAATCAACAATGGAACTCAGCATTTTGAGGCTGAAAGAAGAGAGTTTATAGCCCTGAGAAGAGCACGCCGCAAAGCACACACACACACACCAGAGACAGAGACAACAACGAGTGTGAGCTCCAGGGTGGACCATCCTGGTGCCCCCACTGTGCCAAGATCTGCAGGTCACGGATTGGCCGATTCAGCCATCTCCGAACCCATGGCCAGCCAGGTCCACCTCACAACACGGACAAGTTACACCTGGAGGGGCATCACTCGACTACGCGGGATCCCAGAAGAAAAATAAGTTTGTGTGCTAGTGTATGTGTGCTAGTGTGTGTGTGCGTGCTAGTGTATGTGTGCCTGTGTGTGTGTGCTAGTGTGACGTCACCGCCACTTAGTGGCGAATGGCGGTTGTTGTGTGCTAGTGTGTGTGTGTGTGTGCTAGCGTGCTAGTGTATGTGTGCTAGTGTGTTAGTGTATGTGTGCTAGTGTGTGTGTGCGTGCACCTTGAGGCCACGTGAAGCGTTCGACACTTCATGTGGCCTCAAGGTGCACATGGCCTGGCACAAGCGTCGCGGTGACGTCACCGCCACTTAGTGGCGAATGGCGGTTGTTGTTGTTGTTGTGTGCGTGCTAGTGTATGTGTGCTAGTGTATGTGTGCTAGTGTATGTGCTAGTGTGTGCTAGTGTGCGTAATGCATCTGACGTCAGCCTGTAAGGTGCCAACACACAGTCGCGTCAGCTACGCGCGTCTCGGAGAAAAACAAACCCCGTGCTTCGTGCCACGCCTGCTCGGCACGGCGCCAGCACGGCTCGTGCGGTGGAAAAAAATCAACCGGAGCCCCGACCGTTGCATCGCTTTAACCGATGCGGAGTCCATTGTTGTTTGGCTTCGTGAAATTATTCGTTCAGTGGAAGATATCATTATGCTCACTGGGCAGTATTGATTTGAAGTTTAACCGATGTATCGGCCGATATTCGGCTTTTTAAAAAATATCGGTATCGGAATTTATGCCAACTGATGTGTCCCGATGCTTTATACATGCGTAATGAACCAAAAAAATAGATTCTTGCTCCTGTAAATCTACGTTTGACAAGTTGGTATTGCTGTTTGCTAAATGATCCGGGATAGGGAGCTCTATAATAAAGGTTTATTCGGGTTAGATTGCGTTAATATGTGTCGTTAAACCCGCCACCATCCGACACAGCCAACTAGTAATGTTTCTCACGTAAACTAAACGTGCCAATTCGTTACTTGTACAGCACACCGGTGTGTTGGATAGTAAACCCACGACATTTACAATTCTAGTACGATGTTTCGCCGGTAATTACAACAACCAGCCTTGCAAAAATGTGCGTTTAAAATTAAGCAAATTGTTCCTCAAATATTGAAAGCTTAATAACATAAGTTTTAGAATTGATTAGAAAATGTTGCATTTTTTGACAAAATATCGGTCGACTATATCCGCAATCGGTGGACAAGAACTCTCCAATCGGTATCGGCATCAGAGCCAAAAATCTGGCATCGGTCCGGCTCTAAAATCCACCCTTGCTTCGTGCCACGCCGGCTTGGCACAGCCCCGGCGTGGATTGCGCGGAACGCCCACAATTGCTTCTCTGTGGTTGCGTCCCGGTTATATCAAAGCGTTGTGCGTCACTTGGTAAACGTACGATGCCGATCCGAAGACTTGTTTCTCGGGCGGCAGCGGCGTGCCGTTGAGGGAGAACACCATTTGCTTCTTGTTGAGGTCCAGGAGAAAGCCGACCGTGTCTCCTGCGATGACAACAGCGGCACACGATGGGTCCCATCTGGCATCATCTCCATATCGCAGCAGGTTTGCGTGTCTCTCTCCCCGTGGTGGCGCAGAATTTTCTCCGGGTCCTCCGGTTTTTCCCTCCACATTTAGATTGAATGTGCATTCAGAGTATTTGGATGCGATAAAATTCCAGATAAGCCACTTTGTTGAGCTATCAATTGTGGCCAGGTCACTTCTGAAAAAGAGCTATGTAGCTCAGTGGGCCTTAACCTGGTTACATTTTTTTTTTAATAAAAACATTTGTTGAAGTTTAGTACCTTCCTTCCAGCAGGGGTGTGCGTGGGGCTTGCTCTTGGCGTTGTACCAGATGAGGCGACGGCACCCGTCGTAGGCACACGAGTATTCGTCATCTCCGATCCCGTAACCTTCCTGAAGGCGCAGCGGTACCAGTAGCAGCAGCAGCGCCAGCAGCAACAACAGCAACAGCAGCAACAACAACGGGAGCAACAGTGACATTAGCAACAGCGGAGGCAGCAACAGCAGCGGCAGCAACCGCAACAACAGCAACAACAGCAGCAGCAACAGCAGTGGCAGCAGCAGCCACAGCAGCGGCAACAACAGCAACAACAGCAACAGCAGCAGTAGCGACAGTAGCAGCAACAGCGGCGGGAGCAACAACAACAACAGCAGCAGCAACAATAGCGACAGGAGCGGCAGCAGTAGCAGTAACAACAGCAGCGGCAGCAACAACAACAGCAGCGGCAGCAACAACAACAGCAGCAGCAGCAATAACAGCAGCGGCAGTAACAACAGCAGCGGCAGCAACAACAACAGCAGCAGCGGCAGCAACAGCAGCGACAGCAGCAGTGGCAGCAACAGCGGCAACAGCAACAACAGCAGCGGCAGCAACAGCAGCAAGGACCGCGATTCATCAACAGCTCGCCAGCGAGACACTGGGCTCAAGGCAAACAATTCCGCATTTTTGCCTCCAATGATGCTGCCTCAAAGGAGAAAAGGAATGGCGGCGTCATGGTTAATGCATCCTGTTGGGACTTGAGATCAATTTCGAGTCACGTACGAAACCGTTTGTAATCAAGATATAACGATTGTTGGAGAGGCACAACCGAAAAACACAGCAGAACATGTATAAATATATATTACATACATCCTCCGTATAGACTTAACAGACTATTGGGGCAAGTGCTGTTAGCGAGCACCTATGAAGGTAGGCACGGCACACGAGGGGGTGGGTGGCTAACACCACGCCCGACCGCCTTTGTCTCCCCAGTGGCGATGTTTACACATCACACCGGGTACTCATTTGAGGCCGAGTCGACCTAGGGGAGGCCCAGGACCAGTTCAGATAATCGTCACTAGTGTTGGCCGTGAGCGGGAATTGAACTCGAGACGCTGGGTTTGTAGCGCAGCGGCGCTAACTGCTACACCACCGCTCCCCACACCCATGCACACACACACATACACTCTCACAGACAATCTTACACACACTCACGCACACACACTCACGCACACACACTCACGCACACACACTCCCTCTCCATAGAGGTTCCGCGCCGCCGTTACGTGTGTGCGTGTGCGCAGCTCACGTGGTTGAGGAACTTGCTGTTCTTCGTTGCCCAGCCGATCTGCATGACGCCGCACGTCACGACCATCACCTCGTAGTACCACACGCCCGAGTCCACGCAGAACGTGCAGCGCACGCTCTCAAACGACGACGCGTCGCACCGCGCCTGCCACAGACAAAGATACACCCCGAACAGCTTGAAACAGACTTTTGGGGCCAGTGCCGTTCGCGAGTAGCACACGAGCGGATTGGTGGCCAACAACCACGCCCGGCCGCCTTGTGTCTCCGACGTTTACTCATTTAAAGCCCAGTCGAAATAGCGGATGCCCAGGACCTTGCTCAGATATTCGTCACTAACGGTGGCCGTGAGCGGGCTTCGAACTCGGGTCGTCGGGTTCGCAACGCGGCACGCCAAGGCAGCGTGCCACCGCTCCCCACGGGGCAACGCGTGCGTACGAAGTTTCCCGAGGAAGCAAAGGCTTCCTGTGCGAGGCCTACATGTAATCACAGACACATATATACATTATTATTACCGACCAAATTTGGAGACGAACCGAACCAAGACACAAGGGATTGCCACATACAAATCACCCGATGATGCTGCATGTATAATTACCAGCGAAATGTCGTACTCAAATTGTAAATGTTGTGGATTTACTCTCCAACACACTGGTGGGCTGAAGGAGTAACTAGGTGGCGTTTTGGTTACGTGACAAATCCCTTACTGACTGGCTGCGACTGGTCGAGAGAGTTACGACACATTTACGCAATCCAACCCAAAAACCTTTATTATGAATAATATTGGTCACAAAAGCCTGCTACGTGTGAATTTATTTTCCCTACCTCCGATTGGCACGGTGCGAAAGAAGTAAAACTGTGCTAATCGGAGGATAGCACGGAGGTCGTGGGTTCAATCCTGACCCCGACGCCTGCTGAATATTTGGAGTTTGCATGCGTCTCTCCCCGTGGTCGTGTAGATTTTTCTCCAGGTCCTCCGGTTTTTCCCTCGAGATAATAATTTAGAGTATTTGGCTGTGATAAGTTTCCACGTGATAAGCCACTTTGTTAACCTATCATCTGTGGTCAGGTCGATTCTGGGCCTTACCTGATAAAATAAAAATTGTTATTTAATGTAACCACCTCAGATTGGTCTCTTGGCATCTCTACCCTGTTCTCATTTAAACCATTAAAGTTTAAGTGTGAATGTAATTTAATAAATGACTGCTATTGTTTAAAAAATATATATATATGTTACTGTGGAACGCTTTGATGTCGTCTACCGGCCGAGCCGCTCTTGAAAAAAGCTGCTTAGCTCTACGGCTTGACTTGGGAAATACACTCCTGGTTCTTTTTCCTTTGCTCACGCGTGTTGCGTGCGTTGTCTGCGTTGCGTGCGTTGCGTGTGTGCATGCATCGTGTGCATGCGATGCGGTCTGTGCGCGCATTGTGTTGCGTGCACGCGTTGTGTGTGTGCTGAGTGAACACCAGCGAATCCTACCTTGAGGCCCTGTGTGCACGCACCGTGTTGTGTTTGTGCATTGTGTGTGCTGAGTGAACCCCAGCGATGTCTACCTTGAGGCCGTGCGTGCGCACGTTGTGTGCGTGCGTTGTGTGCGTGCATGCGTTGTGTGCGTGCATGCGTTGTGTGCGTGCATGCGTTGCGTGCGTACGCCGTGTGCGTACGTTCCGTGCGTGCGTTGCATTGCGTTGCATGTGTGCCGAGTGAATCCCAGTGAACCCTACCTCGAGGCCGTGTGGCGATATCTTGAGGTACTCGCTCACGTCGTTGCTGTTGAGCATCGCGCTGATCCCACTCAGGTCCACCTGCTCGTACGTGAACTGCCGCCCCTCCTTCACGACTGCGTCCGCGTGCAGCGACGTGGCCAAGGAAGGAACGCAAAGCGCAAGGCAGGAGTGAGGTCAGCTTTGCTTTCTGTGTGGGGATCTTAGCCGCACTCATCGGTTACTCGAGGACGATAATTAATACCGGCCGCGTTTCATCTCGTCAAGGAGCATAAACCGTCAAGCCAACTCCGGTTGTTCTCGCAGCGGATTTTGCCGAGCCATCAAACAAAGACGGTCAACGCATCGCGCGGCGCTTTCGGCTGTGCTTCTGTAGCCGTCTGGAATGCTCTTTCTTTCGATATTAGGAAGCCACTGGAGCTATGCCCTGAGAGCAATTGTTTAAGGGCGCTTCATAAATCTTGATTTTAAGCTTTCGTGACTGCAGGAATCCATACTCTTTGGTTCTTTTGGTAAAGTCACGTAGGTAGAAATAAAAAAATCACGACGTTTCGATAGCAATACAAGCCATCGTCTTCAGGTGAAAATCGCGACAGCCGCAATGTCTGCTGCGAGCAGCAACGATGTCTGCTGCCTTTCACAGGGCAGCGATGGCTTGTGTTGCTATCGAAACGTCGTGATTTTTTAAATTATATTTCTACCTACGTGACGTTACCGAACGAACCAAAGAGTATGCGCTTTATAAATTTTAACGATTATTATTTCTCATTAGATCTAGATTTAAAACTCATTTCTTTAGAACTGCTTTTCTGTGTTAAGTTTGTTGTCCTACCCCCCGCACCTCCGATTAGCACGATTGGCCACGTGCGATGCGAAAATGAAGTTCAACACACCTACGTATATTCACCTTGCGGACAGGAGCACGAGTGACTGAATGATAGCGAACGGATGAATGAGTGAATTAACCCAAAGTAGGTGGTGTCAATTGGTCGCTGCGTGGGTGCGGAGTGCAAAGCGTCGAGGCGGCGACATAAAATCAGAATCTGTATTTATACCGCAGGAATCGCAGACGTCGCGTGGACACGAACATGGCCACCTCACAGCTGAGCAGAGTCGGTGACTCTTCACAGATGACTGTCAGCCGGGCGTCTACATCGGTATACGTTACAAATATTTCGCCTCAATAAAGTTTCCACGTTATTATTGGACGCCGCTGAGGTGCGTGTTAGCGTGCGGCCCCGTAAAATATGTATTTGTGAGTCCTATGATACAATACTCCCTCGGTTAACAGTGACGGTTTTTAGGTGAACGTTTTGCCTTCCACAGGACCCCATAATTTTTAAATCCTTTATATTAAGTTCGCTTGCTTGCTTGCTTGCTTACGACCGTGCAAACCTTTCGGTCGTTTTTTAACCCACTTCCCGTGATCCAATCGAGCTGACATTTTGCACACAGACTCGTTGTGCGAGACAATTAATGTTCGTGAAAATTTTTTTCCAAAATTTTACACTGTTTAGGGAAAACAAATTAAATATTTAATTACCAATTGTTTAATACTGCAGACAATCATCTGACCCATAGGTGGCAGCCATCTCAAGCCAGAGGACGAGAGGACTCTAGCCGCCACGCATATAAAGGATTTAGAGTGAAAAACTTTGTTTTTACGGGTTATACTTATTTAAAATCCGGCACGTCCTTCCCCCTCCAAAGCCGCCTGATAATCGATGATTGACAGTAAGTTGAAAATCGATTATCGACTCCGTAAGTTGATAATCGATGATCGACCAAGTGTATCAGGATCCGACAGGGAAGTGTTGAGGGCCTTGGTACGTACAGAGATTGTCGAGGCACCACTGGGCACAGAAGCCGACCTGGCGCCGCGCGAACTCGGGGCTGTTCACCCACGCCTCCAGCACCTTGAGCTGCTCCGAGATCCGCGAGCGACCCACCGTCACCTTGTTCTCCGCTGGCGGTCGGGAGGGGCGGGGAGCGACAACAGCGCGCAGGCATGGGTCACTAACAGGACAGGCTTCACTAACAGGACAGGCCCGGGGGGGGGGGGGGGGGGGGGGGGGGAGGTTGCCGCACGTGATCACGCCGTCATTAAAAAAGAAACGGGGAACTCCCCCTCCTCACCCGAGCAAGGTGCCGAGTTAAGAAGCTTTTTGTGCGTTCAGTTTGTTTTCCTGCCACCGCCCCCCCCCCCCCCCCCCCCACAGTAACCTCCGATTAGCACGGTTGGATCCGTATACGAAGCGAAAGAAGTTCAACGTACGTATACGTACGTACAATGGAAGTGCCACCACTCGGCAAACAAACACGGGGACAGAAATCAAGTGAATATGGAATCAGACAGACTCGACGAACGTGACCACTACCAATGCCACGAGGTGCCGCAGTGCTCACGTGAGTCAAGTCCTTACACGTACTGCCAAGTGCTCACGTGAGTAGAGTACTTACACGTACTGCCCCAGTGCTCACGTGAGTAGAGTACTTACACGTACTGCCAAGTGCTCACGTGAGTAGAGTACTTACACGTACTGCCCAGTGCTAGTGTGAGTACAGTACTTACACGTACTGCCCAGTGCTAGTGTGAGTACAGTACTTACACGTACTGCCCAGTGCTCACGTGAGTACAGTACTTACACGTACTGCCTCAGTGCTCACCTGAGTAAAGTACTTACACGTACTGCCCAATGCTCGCCGAGCTGCGTTGGCTTCCGGTTACCGAACGAATACATTGTAAAGTCGTGCTCATTTACACACCAAGTGCATGCCACAAATGAACCACGTGACCTTGCCGACCTCGTCAGGGAGCATAAACCACCATCACGCAAACTCCGGTCATCCTCGCCGCAGAGGCTTTTGGCTCACCATCGAACAAAGACGGCCACCGCATCGCGAGATTTCAGATGCACTTCTGCGGCCGTCTGGAACGCTCTTCCTTCCGATATTAGGAAGCCACTTGAGCTATACACTTCTAAATCTAGATTGAAAACGCAATTCTTTAGAAATCATTTTTGTGTTTAGTTTGTTGTCCTTCCCCCGCACCTTCAATGAGCACGGTTGGCTACATGTGATGCGAAAGAAGTTCTACATACATACGTACATGCCAGGAACATGTGGTAATCGTGAATCGAGGGTAACTCACTCGTTTGAGCGAATTTCTCCAGCGCGATGAGAGAGAAGAGCATCACCGTGGGATGGGACTGCAGGTTCTGTGGAGATAACAACATCATGCGTTTAGAGTGTTTGGCTCCTAGAGATGTCCATGCCACTTCGTTGAGCGATCCTTTGCGGCCAGGTCACTTCTGAAAAATAACTATATAGCTCTGTGGGCCTTGCCTGGTAAAATGAACAATGTTTATAGTTTCAAAAAATAGCTAATGGTCTGCGCTCCGACGAATTTGTTCTGGTATGGGGCGCATTACAAACGTGCACTTTTGTTGTTGTTATTGTTGTTGTTATTGTTGTGCAAATCATTGGGGAGTTTTGAAACCAAAGCAGTCCACCAACCCCTCCTCGTCTGAAATGCACAACAGCTGACTGGCACCTGTCTGTGCAGCCAAAAAAAACGGAATGCACGAGAAAATCCCTCCCCACTGGATACTTGATAGCACACGTTTTCCCAACGCGATGAAAATAATACATAAGCATTAGTCTTTCAAAAAAACATTTAACTACCTCGAGTCTATTAATAATAAATATCCACTCATGTAAGTAGGCAGGAGCATCTTAAATTATTAAACAAGTGACACTCATTACAGCTTAAAATTACCAACAGCGGTGCAATATGCAGCAGCAAACTCGACCAGCATTGCGTGCTGGTCTCTGAACGACTACTTTAGAGATGCCTGCTGACTCCTGCTTGCTAAGCACGCCTCCTACAAGTAGCCGTGATGCAGGCGTGTGGTGTGAACGGTGTAGATCTGGCGAGCTCTTCACTTCAACAAGCTGCTGGAGGACAGCGGGGCGTTGAATGATGAGGACGCGCGCACAGGTGATGGGAGTTGGCACAGATTTTCGGGAAGAATGACGTGGACAGTTCCAGAGTCAAGTTGATTTTGCCGAACCAGGTGCGGACTCGTAGAAGCCAGGATGAGTCTCGTTTGCGAGGGCGACCCGTGGATTCAGTTGACGTCGTCCCAACCCGCACGGTCACAGGTTCAAATCCCACCCAGGGGGTTGGAGTCAGCCGATCATCCGTCTGGATAAAAATGCACCACTTTGTGGGAGGTCAACAGTGATTTTCCTACAGATAGACGTGGATCCCACCATGAGAAAGTTCACCAAATGGCTCGGGGCCTTCACAACAGAGAGAGATGCTTGGTTGAAGACGGAGACACGCCGTCTCGTAGCCGGACGGACGCCCGTTGAGTCACCACCAAGAGTTCACCGAATGATGTTTGCGGGAAAGCGTTAGTGCGTCGCAGCGAACACTGCGGCGGTAACACGACCTGAGCCGCTCCTCCACTGTGCATACGCTGTGGGGCGCCACGGTGGCGAGATGTTAACTACCTCACCTGGTATACGGGAGGTCGTCAATTCGATCCCGACCCTGACGATGCCTATGTATTTGGAGTTTGCGTGTCTCTCTCACGGTAGTTGCGTGGATTTTTCTCCGGGTCCTCCGGTTTTTCCCTCCACATTTATAATCGCCATGCGTTTAAGAGTATTTGGCTGCTATAAATTTCCACAGAAGCTATTTTGTTGAGCTATCATTTGTGGCTCTTCAACTCACCCCTCATTTTGCTACATCACGGCCAGAGACTAGAGCGGAATGTCTACTCGTGCGCTATCACGTGACTGTTTGTGCTGCTAAAAAGCTAAAATTTATATATATACATGGCAAAACCTTGCCCATTGAGGCAGGGGCTTGCGTTCTAGAAAATAGCCGCAACTTGGCAAATACGCGATCCGTAAAATAGAAACGAACGTCGCGGTCAACGGCAAATGGTCGAACCACGGGGGGTGCGATCGGCAATCTGTACCTCTATAAATTTTGCGCGAACGATCAAATCGGTGGTGGGAAAACCAGCGTTGGGGCAGGTTGTGGTACATACATAGTTATATGTTGAACGGGGCAACATGAACAATTGCAGAGCATCAACGTAACGATACGGAGCTTACCAGGCTCTCGAGCAGGTAGCCGAGTGTTCCCGGAGACAGCAGCGCGATGCTTGTGGGACCTGCAAGGACATGTCAATAAAACACAGATAATTAATGTTCCACTTGTAAACCCAGGGAAGCCTGCCAAAGGATGGCACACATTACCACACACCGTTCCTTTAACTAACCTTGTCGTCGGGTTCACACGTGTTAGTCGTAGGGTTTCGCGACCAATATTATCCATAAGAGGTTTATACTCTTTGGTTCTTTCGGTAAAGTCACGTAGGTAGAAAATAAAATAAATCACGACGTTTCGGGCACTTTCCCACCTGATGACGGACGCTTGTGTTGCGCCCGAAACGTCGTGATTTATTTTATTTTCTACCTATGTGACTATACCGAAAGAACCAGAGAGAATGGATTCCTGCAGTCACGAAAGCTTGAAATCAAGACATGAGGTTTTTTTGTGGGTTAGATCGCGTAAATATAAATGTGTAGTTGAACCCACCACCACCCGACACAGCCAATTGGTAAGGTTTGTCACGTAACCAAAACGTGCCAATTAGTTGCTAGTTCAGCACACCGGTGTGATGGAGAGTAAACCCACAACATTTACAATTCCAGTACCGTGACATTTCGCCGGTGATTACAACTGGCCTCATCATGCGACAGCCAGATTTGTGGAGACATCCTCCAGTTTCAGTATTAAATAACGGGATAAACGTGATGTCATCGCTTAAGAGCCAATCCGGTGTGAAGACCAGTGTCTTTCTCATTTTACGATGATAATTATAATAGTAGTGTAGTGGTGATAACTACTCGCTGTTCGCAAGCTGTGAGAGAGTGGATCGTAAACAACGTTTTCCCGCTCGATCAAATGGTCAGGGTCAAATGGGGTGAGGTAGGATCCAAACGCCAGATTGGGAAGGACCAATCGGGGGGTTCTACAAGGTGGCCGGGGATTGGACAACCCGACCACGAACCGGTATAAAAGCCAGAGCGCTGAGAGCTCTTGGCCAGTTCTGCTACACGAAGACCCAAGTCGGCCGAAGACATCTAGGACCCTGGACCAAGCCTTCCAGCCCTTGTCAGGGCTAGGGCTCAGTGTAACCAGTGGTCGGGGGAGATTAGGTCCGAGATAGCTAGGACCCTGGCTCCCAGCCTTCCCGCCCTTGTGAGGGCGAAGGTCCTGAGCGACCAGAGGTCGAGGACCCGCCGGGCCAGCGGTGGGTCAGTGTGCCTCCCCTAGGTTCAGCCAGAGGACGCTAGGTTAGCAGGGAGATTAGATAGTCTGCCCAGTCCGGAGGCTGTACCTCCTTAGAAGATGAGATAAGCGTGAGTGTGGAGCTGTACAAGGTCCGGAGGCTGTACCTCCTCAGGGTAACGGGTAAGGGGACCGTATACCCCTTTTTTGTGATAGGGACTGTGTATTAAGTCCGTCCTTTACAACACTACAGTAGTAATAATTTATTTGCCCAAAAGAGCCGTGCTGAGTCCAAAGACACGATTTGCAGCAGATATCTTGCTACATTGGGATGTTTGGCCAAACACCAATGACTTTGTATTCTTGGTTCTTTCGGTAAAGTCACGTAGAAGGGATGATGATTGCTTGTGTTGCAGTCGAAACGTCGTGAGAATTGTATTGTTTTATATTTTTATTATTTTATTGTTTCCCTTTTACGTGACTTTACCGAAAGAACCATGAATATGAATCCCTGCAGTCACGAAAGCTTTAAACCAATGACTGTATGTTTTTTTGTTGTTGCTACAACAGACCAGAGAACACAGTGGAAGGAGTGGAGGACATACAAACTCCAACATATAAAGGTGACCAAGTCGGGAATCAAACCCAGGCACCCCCACCCTCTCTTGATGCGAGGCGCGAGCGTTGACCGCCTTGCCACCCTCGTTGCCTTTAGAGCGACTCCCTCCTCTGCGTGCCTCGGGAATGTCCAAGGAACCCGTTAAGAGTCCTCAAAAAGTGCCAGTGGCCAGTCGCGTGCAACGTCTTCAAATCGCCCTCAACCAACACTGATTTAAAGGGGAGGAAGAGTGGAGCGAATGTTGCCGCTTCAGTTGCTATAAGGCGACCGGGCCTAGACGCGTAGGGCTGCGGGCAGGGTGGGCATGGTAGCGCCCGCGCGGTGCTGCGTCGTTGCGGGGCGGGTGGGGACGGGGGGTCAGGGGGCGGGCGCTTACCGGCGAGCTTCTCAGCGAGGCAGCCGAGCACGGCGGCGGTGTTGCGGTGGCGCGCCGGGTTGGACAGGTCCGTGCGTGCCACCTGCTCGTCCAGCTGCAGGATCTCAGACAGGCGCAGCAGGGACTCCTGCGCCAAGACAAAGATCACCCACGATCGTCTTAACGGACATTTCGGGGCAAGTGAAAGTGCTGTTAGGGAGAAGAAGCACCCACGACGGCCGGCACGGTTTCACAAAGGGGGTGGGTGGCCGAAAGCCACGTCCGCCCGCCTTTGCCTCCCCAGTGGCGACATTTACACACCGCACCGGGTACTCATGATTTGAGGCCGAGTCGACCGTGGTGACTGATGGGAGAGGGTTGTAGACTCTCCGCACTTCTGACGGCTAAACCAGTTCGATCGCGTGCGGCCTCCACGTATCGCGAGCCGGGACCTCGGTGGCGGTGGCAGCGGTGGCTCTGCGCTCTAACAAGGGAGACGGCATGGGACCCCCGGGTGGCGGACCACATTGGTCTTCTCTTCTTTCTGTAAGGTTGCTGGTCAAGCCCAGATAACCGCATCAGGAGTCATGGTGGCGAGATGGGGCGTCATGTCGGCAAGTTGTTAACTACCTCACCTGGTATGCAGGAGGTCGTGGATTCTATCTCGACCCTTAATGCCTGTGGTTTCTCCGGGTCCTCCGGTTTTTCCGTCTACATTTAGTAAAGATGCATTTAGAGCATTTGGCTGCGATAAATTTCCACGTAACAAGCCACTTCGTGGAACTATCTTTGTGGACAGGTCGGTTATGAAAAAGAGCTACATAGCTCAGTGTAAATTAAAAAGTTGAGTTCAGCTTAAAGTTTAGTATCTCTGTGACGTCTCCTTCGTATGTGTGGATGGGGACATCGCGTCACTGTCTCTGCTGACACCTTGGTGGGGAGAGGGCACTCGTCCAGCAGGAGTGTGATGACGGCAGGGCCCAGGGGATCGTCCAGAGGAATCACGCGGATGAGCGACTGCACCAGCTCCAGCCATCCCGGCTCTACATCAAGCAACACACAGACAAAGAGGTCACCAGCCATCCCTGCCCCACGTCACACATAGACTAAGAGATCCCCAGCCATCCCGGCTCTACATCGCTTCCTCCCTATAGCCTCAACAGACTTTTGGGGCAAGTGCTGTTAGCGAGCACATCCCCGGGAGGGTCACATCTGCGAGGTACAGAGTCGAAGGGGTTTTTGTTGGGGCCGCGTCTTCCTGCGGGACCTTCCCATTTCGCACCTCCGATTAGCAAGGTTGGCCATGTACGGCGCGCAAGAAGTTCAACATGCACCCATACAAATTCAAGGCTTGAAAACCACCACAGACTCGCTAAATGGCTGGGGAGTTCTGTGGTGCTATGAATAAAGCATGCCACCAGTTCAAATCCCAGTTGGAGATTTGTAGGTTAGGGTTCGATAAAAATGAGCACAGTGAAGCCGTATTTTTACCCTCCGATTTCTTTCATTATCCCCCTATGTCTAATTTTATAGATCCCAAATAATCGCACGGCGAATCTCGATGACCTTTCACCTCATATATAAAATAACGGTACTCCGTAAGGCTAATGTTTACCTGCAGGGATTGAGTGAGCAATGGGGGGGGCTTCTTTCTTAGACCCAACAATACGTTTTATTGGTCTGAGAATGATGCATTTAAGTACATACGGTGCACAGAGCGACGGTGGGGAAACACCTCACCTTGCTCCGCCAGCTCGTGCAGGGCCATCATGGAGTACGGGGGTTCCTGGTCACTGCAAGATGGCACATGGCACAGCGGCGGTGAACATGGTTATTATACATAACCAGCCTTTTGCCGGTCCCAGTAAATCTGAAACTTGCAAGCGAAAAGCAGACCACGACGTCATATTCATTGCATCAATTCGTGTGCAAATTGTAAGGCCGCGGTGGCACAGACTTATTTCATGTAAAGGTTATAATCCCATATTCATCATGACGTCCTTTTTACTTTGATGTCTCAACAGCGTTACGGAAATCGCCTTTGTAGTGAGGGTTCTGCCTTTGTAGTGAGGGTTGTAAGTTGATGCTGAGGAGGGGGGAGGAGGCGCCTCGCCCCCCCGCCCCCATGTGGAGTGACGTCACCCACTAATTATTATTTACTTTTTTTTTGCTTTGCCCGTCCAAGGACGTGTGTAGATTGCAGTAAATCTGAAATATTCAATAGAAAAAATGTTCAGCTCATGATTATGAATGAGGGGGGGTTGCCCCATGTGGAGTGACGTCACCCGTTAATGGTTATTGTGGAGGGGTGCGGCATGTGGAGACGTCACTCCCTCATGGTTATTGTTGAGGGGTGCGACATGTGGAGTGACGAGACCCACTCATGATTATTAATGAGGGGGTCGTGCTACATGTGGAGTGACGTCACTCGCTCATGATTATTAATGAGGGGGGCTGGCCGACGTGGAGTGACGTCACGCGCGGGACACACAGACATTCTTGGCTCATTATAGAAGATAATGTCAACGACGTGACGGTGCAGCGGTTGCAATATCCGAGTCTGTAAAGTGTCAGGGCCATCGCCACGAGGGAGCAGCCGTATAGGGCTGGCACGGCACACATCTGGAGTGGTGCGGAAACGTGCACGGAATTGGTAGAGTACTCATTTAATGCCGAGTCAACCTAAGGAAGGGCCCAGTATCGGTCCAGACACATGTCAGTGATGTTGGCCGCAAGCAAAGCAAGTGTGCAGCGTAGTACAATATGTCACCATTCACCACAACCCACAAACACGTATGCAAAGACTTACTTATTACATAACATTATCGTGTAACTCACTTTTATCGCACATTTTATTTAAGGTGTTGTGAAAACTCAAGTTTTGCCATCTTAGATGCCACCAACAAGTTAAATATTTTGTCTGGGCCCATGGACAAAGATCCCCCGTATAGCCTTAAGAGACTGCTGGGACAAGTGCTGTTAGTGAGCACCTATGAAGGCCGGCAAGGCACACGAGGGGGTGGGTGGCCAGCACCACGCCCAACCGCCTTTGTCTCCCTAAAGGTAATGTTTACACACCGCACTAGGTACTAATTTGAGACTAAGTAGACCTAGGGGATAATCGTCACTGGTGTTGGCCGTGAGCGGGAATCCAATTTGGGTCACCGGGTTCGTAGCACAGCACGCTAACCGCTACACTCCTGCTCCATCCAAACACATACACATAGAGACACACTATTTTCCCCGCTCCCACACCTGTAAACACACAAGCGCACACACAGAAGACACGCGTCAGCTGCGCCCGCCCTTACTTGTCCAAAGGCAACGAGAATTCAAATTTGTAAATGACGGGCAAACCCATCGGAACAGAAACATTAGTGCAGAAAACAAATAGATGTAATGGCCCTGTGATGGGTTTTCTCTTTCATTAGCAGGCAAGTGTGAGCGGGTGTCCACATAGCCCCGGGGTCAGCAACCTGCGGCTCCGGAACCGCTCACGGCTCTTCAAGGACCGCCGCTCCGTGACGTTATTTACCAAGGGCCCACCGTCTCGTATTCGCCACCACAGTGCATCGTGGCTCTTTAAATATCGAGGGGTCGTTTTTACCGAATTAGAAGAACATGTCTCTTCTTGTTACTTTGGTTGCCGACCACTGCCCTAGCCTGAAGGTGAAAGCCCCCTCCATATAGAGGGCTCCCAGAGGCACGTGGCAGCAGCGAACTTTCACGACTGCACTGTGCTCTTCTGACGAGTCCTAAAGAGGATGAAACTCGTCTACGGTTGTGTCTTTGTGTCGCTGCTGCCCGTCGGGAGGGCAACGTTTTCTCGACTATGTTGAACTTCTTCAGCACCGTACGTAGCCAACCGTGCTAATCGGGGGTGCGGGGGAAGGACAAACTAAACACAAAAGGCAGTTCTAAACAGAGTTTGTCAATCTAAATGATGTAAAAGTGCACAGCTCCCAGTGGCGTCCTAATATCGGACGAAACAGCGTGCCAGACGGCCGCGGGAAGCGCCGCGCGATGAGTTGGCGGTTCTGAACGACGACGACGACATTACGGCCGCACATTCAGTTCCGCTGAGCCGGTGGTCTGGCGGGGGGGTGGGGGGTGTGGGTGTGGTTGCCCTCACTTGTCCACGAGCGTGCGGATGAGGTTGAGCGTCTCCAGCACGAGGCCGTCCACGTTGAGCTTCTTGCGCGGCGGGTCGCCGGGCCCCCTGCCGCGACGCGGCGGGCGGCTCAGGTCCCGCGAGCGCGAGCGCGTCACCCCGCCCCCGTTGGCGACGCCGGCGGCGGCGGAGGGAGGGGCCCCCCGACCACCCCCACCGCCACCGGCACGGGCCCCCGGAGAGCCCCCGTCACGGCCGCTACCCTCGTCCTGCTCGTCCACCTCCTCCTGGATACGCGCGCACGTACAAAAACTAAGACAAAGATCCCCCGTGTAGCCTGAACAGACTTTAGGGGCAAGTGCTGTTAGCGAGCACCTATGAAGGCCGGCACGGCGCACGAGGGGGTGGGTGGCCAGCACCACGCCCAGCCGCCTCGGTCTCCCCAGTGGCGCTGTTTACACACTGAGTCGAACTAGGGGAAGCCCAGAACCGGTTCAGATAATCGTCACTGGTGATGGCCGTGAGCAGGAATCGAACTCGGGTCGCCGGGCTTCGCAGCGAAACGCGCTAACCACTGCGCCACTGCTCCCCGTACACAAGCACACGCGCACACACACACGCGCACACACACACGCGCACACACACACGTACACGCACACGCACGCATGCACACGCACACACGCACGCACACGCACGCACGCACGCACACACACGCACACACGCACACGCACACACACACGCACACACGTACACACACACGCACACACGTACACACACACGCACACACGCACACCTCCGTCGGTTTGCTTTTGGGTCTCATTTCTATTTGCTTCATAGTTGTTCCCCTTTGTTGTCACTGCTCCTGTTGTTTCCGCGACCCGGGGTCACCCCCGCAAATGAGACTCGTCCCAACGTCTTGAGTTCTCGGCTGGGTAAACGTCAACTTGAAACTTGAATGTATATTTATTCATACGTCAGAGAATGCAAAATGGAGTTCCTTTTTCTTATAATTATTTTTTTTGTGTTACTCGTCGATGCTCCACTGCAAACGCCGTGGTGCGTTTGGTGCACTCGCCGGATACCCACGCGCGTCCACTGGTGTGCCCGGAGCCGAAATCACCCTCTTGTCAGGTGTTAGGAGCCAAGCAGGGGGCTTGAGCCTGGACGATACGTGAATGAGTGACCACAATGTATAACATTTCATAACACCGCCGCCGTATGGAAACTTACGTACGAGCGCATCATTGTGTTCCGACTTACGAACTGTTCGACTTACGAACGGGCGTCAGCGACGAATTGTGTTCGTAAGTCAAGGGACCGCCCGTATTTTGGGTCTCTCGGCGGTGGGTGGTGGCGTGCAGCGAAAACGCACACACACGCACACGCGTGCACACACCAGCACACACGCACGAACATACGTGCACACACCAGCAGACACCTGCACACACCTGCACACACGCGAAGACACGCGCGAACACACACACCTGCATACATACGTGCACACACCTGCACACACACGCGCACATACCTACGCGCACACGCGCGCGTCACCTTACCTGGCGGCAAACGCACGAGTTGCCCATGAGCGCGCACGCCAAGCGCAGCACCAGCGGCAGCGCCTCACTGACTAACAGCCACGCCAGCACGATCATAAGGCGCGGTAGCAGCGGCGCGGGTGCCGGCGGCGCGAGGTCGCGGCGCCAGCGGCGCGGGGACGCCGCTGCTCGTGACGGCGGCGGCGGCGGCTTCGGTGCTTTCGGCGTGCGCTTCTGTGGACGGGTTGCGCCGGGCGCCTGGCATCGTGCCAGCCGCCGGGTGGGGAGGCCGGAGCAGGGCCCTTCTGCGTCCTCCTCTCTCTCTACGCGCGCTGTCAACGGAAGGGGGACATAACGTCAGCACCGCTCGGACCGATTTTAAAGAGGAGAAGAAAAAAAACGTCAATTCTATAAAACTCAATCGCTCCTGTATTTTAGACGCGTATTTTGAGGCTGGGTGCTGTCCAAAACAAAGTCTGGCGCGCTCACGTTAGATGAGCGGACGGTTACGGTCAGGGCCTGCTAAGACACGATGATGCGGCGACCCTTCAACACGATGGCAATGCAGTTACAATATCAGAGCGTCACAGCGCCACGTCTCGCATACTGCCGAGGTGCGCGCCCGATGCCAAATTTACAGCCCCCCCCCCCCTGCAAATCGACACCGTGTTGGTCAGGCACTGTGGGTTGGTGGAAAGGTGGGACCAGGTCCAATTCTGATATCAATCACCGCTGATGGTTAACTGTTGCCAGGAATCGAGCTCAGGTCGCCGGATTCGTATCGCAGTGCGGCACATTTGAGTACTTGAGTCTCATTAACGGAGATTCAACTGTGTGCCAGAGAGCCTGCGAAACAAACTCACACAGTGTGTCTCGGCAATATGTCTCCAAGAGCTAAATCACTTCGTGCGATTGTGGCCATGCAGCCCAAACTATAGACCATACAGTAAACCTCGAAGTCTGCGCTCATTCAATGTAGTAGGAGGAGGAACAGAAGAACCACACAAACGTTCTCTCTCCTGACGCCATCTCGTCGTGTCTAACAGACCTTGACATTCGCAATTGGTTCTTGAACATTTTGCAATCACGTACATATGTACGTGGAACTCCCTTCGAACCGTACGTAGCCAATGGTGCAAATCGGAGTTGCAGAAGAAAATAATATAATTTGATTAAAGGCTGCCTTTAAGGCAGAATTTTCTCTTCCATGTTATTTCTCTCCCCTATCCGTCCCTTTATCACTCTTGCTATTTACTTGTTCTTATACCGCTCCCGTAGATCAGGGGTCGTCAACCAAAATAACAAGAACGAGAATTTTTTTTTTCTAATTCGGTAAAAAAAATACATATATATTTCAAGAGCCGCAATTCATGCGAATAGGAGACGGTGGCGCTTGATAAACGTCACGGAGCAGCCCTTATAAACAGCCGCATGCACTACCGGAGACCATGGGCCATGGTAAACTGAACATCTATCGGCCATGGTAAACTGGACTCTCATGGTGAACTGGAATATTCATGATAAACTGGACTTCCATGGTAAACTGGACTTTCATGGTAAACTGGACTTTCATGGTAAACTGGACTTTCATGGTAAACTGGACTTTCATGGTAAACTGGACTTTCATGGTAAACTGGACTTCCATGGTAAACTGGACTTTCATGGTAAACTGGACTTCCATGGTAAACTGGACTTCCATAATAGACTTGACTCCCATGGTGAACAGCACTCACATAGTAAACTGGACTCCCATGGTCAGGAGTCGGCAACCAAAATAACAACAAGAGACATTTTTTTCGAATTTGGTAACAAAAAAAACACCCCTCTACATTTCAACAGCCGCCACTGCGCAGTCCTTGAAGAGCCGCCGCATGCGGCTCCGGTGCCGCCGGTTGCCGACCCCCGCCTTAGATGGTAACTCAAGGCTCCGGTAACTACGCTTATTTTTACGGCGGTCGTTTGGACGCCGATCATCCTGGGTCTTTGCCCGTCCGTACTTGCTGTTGTTGTTAAAAATATGAATGAAATTTTAAAAAATATTTAGAGAACAGTTGATGGCCGCTGGCCCGTTCGTACACCCCAGCAGAGGCAAGAGAGAGAGGGAGAGTAAAACTCGCGACGCCCACATGCAGTCAGGCTACAGGCACGTTGCTATCACTTTATCGAGCCAGGAAGGGTGACTGGCCACTGCGGCTTCCTGCTTGAGATGTAAACTCACAATCTTCCAAACGTGAGTCAAGCCCCCGCTCACCACAGTGCCAATCGGCGTGCCAACCGAATGTAGAGAGGGCAAAGGATGCAGATGACAGCAAGTTCTCCCAGCGGGCTGACACAAGAGACAAAAACAAAGATCCCTCGTATAGCCTGTAACAGGCTGTTGGGGAAATTGCTGTTAGCGAGCACCTATGAAGACCGGCACCAGCACACGAGGTGGGTGGCCAGCACCACGCCCGGCCGCCTTTGTCTCCCTAGTGGCGATGTTTACAACGAAAAGTACTCATTTGAGGCTGAGTCGACCTAGAAAATGGCCCAGGACCAGTTCAGATTATTCTCACTGGTGTTTGCCGTGAGCGAGAAACGAACCCGGGCCGCCGAGCTTGGCGGTGCAGAGTAGCGCTAACCGCTACACACCAGCACGCTCCCCCAGCGGGCCGACTCACAAACACGCACAGAAACACGCGCACATATGACCGCGGTTACGAGGGGAGAGAGAGAGCACAAGACGGCATTACAAGGAATCGTGAAGCACCCCCCTCCACCCCCCCCCGTGAGTCTCTTCACTCATCAGGTCGGGTTTCGTGGGCACACGGAGGCAGCAGGCTGGTGGCACCGCGTGCCAGCCCAGCGCATGTAAATACTACCAAAGACGAAGACGGCGGCGGCGGCGGCGACTCGCACGGATTTTTATTGGGGGCAGCGTTCTCAAGCGCTCAGCTGCAGTGCATCGTCCCTCGCCGCTGCCGCCCCCCCCGCCCCCCGACTTCCGTGCCTTTGAGTACGCGGCTGCCGATTGCGTGCCAACAACAAACAGTTGAAAACAAAGCACTCACAGGTGGCTGGGTGGCTCATTTGGGGCCCTCGTGTGAGAACGCCGGGTCAAATCCACGGTTCTGCCACCCACGATTAAACCAGGTTCTCAAGAGTGCAGGGTTTCAACCGTTGTCACCCGATGATAACGAGATTGAAAAATCCATCGGCGTAAACTCTGCCTTCGCTGCCATTGCCACGACCTGGCTACGAGGATTCAACCAAAATTGGTTGATCTTCTTGGTTCTTTCGGTAAAACTTGGCAGCGTATATATACGCTGCCAAGCTTGGTAGTGTTCATTCAGACGCTGTCTTTCCGACAGACCTGTTCTTCACCTGAGGATGGCTGCTTGCATTGTGGCCAAAACGTCGTGAGAATTGTATTTTATTATGTTTTATTTTATTTATTTTATTATTTCCCTTCTACGTGACTTTACCGAAACAACCAAGAAGATGAATCCCTGCAGTCACGAAAGCTTCAAATCGAAAATCAAAATTGGTTGTTTTGCCGCAGCAGCACTCTTCCCAGACCACCGAACGCGGCCCAGAAGCCCGTGTGATTGACGTCACAAAGTTAATCTGACGTCACCCGCAGAAGCCACTCTTCAGGCGCGGCGTTAAACTGCTCGGCCGTATATTTGTCTCATCACCAAGACGCAGTTGTTGGAATTTAATTGGAAAAACAAAGCCAAGTCAAAAATATTCGTTTTATTAAATCGGCCGAGCACGCCCCCGGGATAACTGCGATGCGCGGGAGGGTGCACGACACCGCTCCCACTGTGCCGCGTCCGCTCTGCACGCCGACTCGAGTTCGCGCTCGCTGGGGCGAGGACAACCGCCGAGGCAGGCGACGTCGAGCCGCAAGGTCACCCGCGCGTCGTCAGAGACGCGCCCACACACCGGGGCAAGTGTGCCGGGCAGCTCGCTCGCTCGCCGGTCCAACCTGGTTACGTGGCCGTGAAACTCGGTTGCACACAACTCGGTTGCATGACAGTGCAACTTGATTACACGCAACTCGGTTGCACGCAACTCGGTTGCACACAACTTGGTTACATGATAGTACAACTTGGTTACGTGGCCATGCGACTCGGTTGAGTACGCGTGGATTGTTGAATCGCGTGGAATTTGCGGGTGAGGGATACATTCGGGGCGGGAGAGGAGGCCGAGGCGAGGGGAGAGCCGCACTAATTGCAGCGATGACTGGGGACGCGGTTGAGCGAGTGTTGAAACGCGGTCACACATTCGATACTTTACTTGCTGAATTGCCACACGTTAGTGGTTTTTTTTGTCAATGCTTCTTTAAGTGACTACGGAGAGACTCGGCCCAGTCATGGGAATACAGATTTCCCCTCCCCATCCACGAGCTCTACCAGTGTTACAAGAAGGCGAGCGCTATGCCACAGCTGATGTCCCTTCCCCCGCACCTCCGATTAGCACGGTTGGCTACGTATGGTACAAAAGAAGTTCAACATACATACATAGACTCACACAGAGACCCATAGACTCACACACAGAGACCCGTAGACTCACACAGAGACCCGTAGACTCACACAGAGATCCGTAGACTCACACAGAGACCCATAGACTCACACAGAGACCAACAGACTCACACAGAGACCAACAGACTCACACAGAGACCCGTAGACTCACACACAGACCCAGACTCACACAGAGACCCATAGACTCACACAGAGACCCGTAGACTCACACACAGACCCAGACTCACACAGAGACCCATAGACTCACACAGAGACCCATAGACTCACACAGAGACCCATAGACTCACAGAGACCCGTAGACTCACACAGAGACCCGTAGACTCACACAGAGACCCGTAGACTCACACAGAGACCCGTAGACTCACACAGAGACCCGTAGACTCACACAGAGACCCATAGACTCACACAGAGACCCATAGACTCACACAGAGACCCATAGACTCACACAGAGACCCATAAACTCACACAGAGACCCATAGACTCACACTTGAATGGGGAGCGCAGTCCACTTCCACAAACTGTAAACAAAAGAACTCCTCCTCCTGTCCAGGTGCTTAAATCAAAATCCGAGCAAGTGACGACTTCAATTATAAAAGAGCCACTTTAATCAGTCAAATGAGGGAAGGGGGGGGGGGCACGCGCGCGGCGGGGGGGGGGGCTTACTGAGCAAGCGGTGGAGGAAGGGCACGTGCCAGGAGGTCTAACGCCAATCGCGTAAGAAACGAGGGAGGGGAGAGAAAAAGAAAACTAAACCACGCGGGGGAGGAAAAACAGCTCGCTATCGCATGCTCAGCTGCTCGTGATGG